AAATTACTGAAGTGAAGCGTTACTTCGCACGCAACACGTTACCATGGTGATGTCAATCTCAAAAATACTACTATCTTAACAGAGATAATGCAATAACCACGTCTTACCCTTGCCACAAATTTGCTTTTGAAGATAGACCACCCCCTTATATTTCAGTGCAAAAAAAATGGCAGACCCAGGCCTTAATTGATCTGAGTTTTTAGTTGCAACTGCCGCTGGTTCTTTCGCCAATTATTAACAGTTTCTAGGATGAGGCTAAGTAAGACCTGAAGAATTATATGCCCATCGAGTAGGTGTTACCAGAGACGTAACTGCCTTTAAGCCATTATAACCCGGGCATAACAAGAATTTTGGACAACATGAGCTAACGTAATATCGTGAAAAGGCGTAAAAAAAATGCAGCTCGCGATTATCTGAGTAGTGTGCCCGTAAACTATGCAAGATTCATCTCCACGATATATGGGCAAGGCCTCTTATACTTAAGAAGAGGGTAAATTAAATAACCCTCTGCCGGCAAAGATTTATTTCCAGCTGATGTCACTTCTCTCCGTAGTAAAAACAGGCAGTCGGGGAGTTTATGTGCCTTCAGATAACAATCGCCACCATGAGAAAAGGCGTTCCTCTTCAGCGTGCAAAACCAACGCATTTATTTATTTTATGATCGTTATGACTATTACTATTATTATTATTATTATTATTGACAATAAAAGAATAAAAACCGATAAAGATACAGATACAGATAAAGGATCGTCTCGGTTACCCCGCGAATACTTAAACTTGGGATCTCCGCTTCGAAGTGATTTTTTGAAGAAGATCGGGCATCTTTGCGAGGTTGCTTTATGCAATTTTTTTTCTGATTACATTAGCATACGAACCTATGGGTCATTAATGCTACGGAATTTGCCTCTAAAGCAAAGGCCGGTACAGAGGCAATGTGAAATTACTTTAAAGTTGTAGAAAATCTTCAAACTGAAAATTATCGCTTCATGTTTTTCTAGAGAGTATTAATTTCTGTTACTGATCCATGGGTTAAAGGTAAAGTAAGTTGTGGACAGCTTCCTGCTTAAACCGTTATTTATTTTAGTTTTCGCAGCACGTCTGAGACGAGCCCATCACAATTCAATTCCACCTCTAACTGTTCAAATCTAGCTTGATTTTTGGAAACGTACCTGCCAAAATAGACCTCTTACGTCAAGATTTTTTTCGTTCAAAACCTATCGGCCCGAGGGGTAGCCAACGTAAAAACTTAGAGTTCAACCCCATTGCTTTTTTCTCTTCGCCTCCGCTCTTTCCCCTCGAGCTCGCTCGACTCTCTCTATTTTTCTCTCCTGGCCCTTTTCCTTTCTAATACTGATTTTCGGTATAACGGCATGCACGAAACGAGTCTATTTGGCCTCTTTGTCGAGTTCTAGTCAAATGGCTGCAATTTTCCGTAGCTGTGTTTTCAAAAATCTTGCTAGATACACATTAAAGCTACATAAAGTGGTTTGAAGTACAAAGTAAAGTTAAGCAACTCAAAAAGTAGCACAACTATTAAATGAAAGGAAAGAACATGCAGCTACTTTGGCTGAGTTCCCAAGAAAATTCGGTTCGCTTCTTCATCTGTGCATTCTTATGTGTCCAGTTGTTGCTTGAAATCAAAGAGTTCCGTTTCTTTCAGATAAAATTGTTAACAGTTTGGCTGATATTACTATTTGGCGACTAGCTGTTTTCTTTGGAGAACCATCGCTTTATTCACCTTGTTTTTCTCGCCAGCAGATTGGGAAGGAGCGGGCCGTTTTGCGACGAAAAGTGCCATTCGTTCATGGGCTGGTAGGCGATTATCCAGGCTCTGTCGATCAAACATCAAGCGGTGATGGACCTTCCTGTTTCGAGCGAAATGAAAAAGAGGCATTATTTTTCTTCTGCGTGGTCAGTTTAGAACTGAAATCAAAACTGTTACAGCAGTGTGGATATGCGACAATGTTGTCTTCACTGTGTTAGCAAAGGAATGAGGAATCAGTTGCATTTTTATGGATAATTATAAAGGGATTTAAGCTACGTAAATTAAAGACGGTGATCAGACACTCCCTTACCATATTTGGTTGAAAAAAAAAAAACAACGATTTTTAATGCATGCAAATTAGTTGTTGTTTTTCAAGTACTGAAAATCTGGCGTCGTTTTAATCACGAAATGTTGTAACAGCGACATTTCATAAAAACAAAGAGCCGCAAAACTTCGTAGTTACTTAACTTAATTTAGGTCGACCCAGATTAGAGTTTGGTTCGTCTCATGAAAAGTTCGACCGACGTTTGGTCGTGGCCTAAGATATTTCTAGTTACGACTAGTTTTTTCACCAATTATTAATAATATTCAGGAATCAATACAGCAATGAACATGGATTTTCGCCGTTATTTTCTGATTGAATTTATGGCACGTTCTTTTCAAAATTATGAGATTAAAACGGGGGTCACCGTACTTGTTTTAGAGCTGCAGAAAGTGCGCACCGCGGCGGACTCCGACAGCAGCCCATTAGGGGTCCTGCCCTTCTGAACTCCTTCCGATTTTTGAGGGAGTGCTAGGGTGAGTTTCAAAATCGCATGCTGACGCATGCACATGGAAAGGTGGAAGGAAGCACTGAAAAATACAATCTTACGGAATTAACGACAAAATTTTGCAATAGGCCGATTGCACGATGGCGTCGTTTTACTACTACGACCACAATCCTTTTTCGCTTTTCCTTTCATATTTAAATTTGTTAATCCCAGCGAGGTTTAAGTGACAAGAGCCCAGATTTGCACAAGAACTGAAGCAAAATACTGAAGGCTTCTGGTCGCAGTGGTAAAATGAAGTCATCATGTAAATGGCCTAAACATGGACCTTAAATAGTAAAAGTGATTCAGCACGCGTCAGTTTAACATTAACTATCGAAGGCCTTGAAGAGGACGTCGAGCATGCCCACTGCTTTCGCTCCAACACACCTTAGCCAGACAAAGCCGCAATCCATCAACTTTTCTCGATCGACTTCATTTTTACAATGTTTCTGCAGACGTTTTTTTTACGGCGGCCGTCTTGTAATGCCCAATGGGAGATGGGCAGTGCAAAACCAGCAATTCACTGTAAGGGAGCCTTCATAACCAACGACAACGGCGACGACAACAAGAACGTCAAAAAAAAAATGAGAGAGAAACAGGTTTAGGTATATGTTTATAGTTAATCATAACTAGAACAAAATTCTCAAATCTGATTGGCTATCATGATCAACTGTTCTGATTTCAGCACCAATAGGACAATACGCGTCATGCCTAAGTTTATTTTGTTTTAATTGAAAAAAAAAATTATTAAAAATTTTGTTATAGTTATGATTAACTGGTACCAGAACTTCGTGTCGTGCAATTCGGTCTGTAATCATACCCGTGTTTCAACAAATCGGACTCCCTCTACGTGGTCGTCCGATTTTGTTAATCACTCGTATGATTACAGACCGAATTGGAATCCATTCAGTCCTATTACCATTTTATACCCAATATCTTGTCGTACCGACACGAAAAGCTATTCTGTATAGTAAAAGCGCCTATCTGATATGTGACTCTCCATGGAAACGACAGAGCTTCGTTCCGTTACAGAAATCGCGCCAAATTACCGTTCTTTTGTATGAACAGAACCCCTATCACGTATAGTTTTCCTGCCGGCGCAAGAGCAGAAGGATCCAAATTGCATTTTTGTTATTGTAACCCAACGACTTTCTTCTTCTTCTCCTGAACTTCGATACAGTCTTTAAGAATTCAACTCCAGAAAAATTTACCAACATTTGACGAATTGAACGAGATGGAAAAAGAACGATAACGTTTGAAGCAGCGCAGCATTCCTTTTGTAAGTGACTATTTTCGCAGCCGCCGCCATCGTTGTTGCTTAAGCTCCCAAATAAAAAATTGCAAAGGCTATATGCGACGGCTACAAGTTATTGGGTTTGAATGTCTTTATCACCGTGCGAGACAGTCGAATTCCGTTATGTTATATGTGTACCCCTAAGCTGACAGAGTATCTGTAAAGAAAAACTCCAGGGTCCGTGCAACAGTCTTTCAACACCATAATTTTGAGGGAGTTATTATAACTCCAAAAATGGAGTAAAAAATTTAGGTACAGGATAACCCCTTTTTGGGGGTTACTTTAACTCCTAATTTCACTCCAAATCTGGGGTAATTTTTATTCCTGAAAAAGAGCTCTTTTTACTCCCAGTCTGGAGTTAAAATAACTCCCCCAAAAATAACTCCACTGTAAGGAGTTAAATTAACCCTACTAGAGGAGTTATCATAACTCCTTGAAAATGACTGTGAATGATGGGGCCGCTGGTGGTTTGGAGGGAGTCAAGGGAGTCTCGGGGCGTTCAAATGAATCTAGCTTTTATATGAATGCCACGAATAACAGTTGTATAGCAAGAAAGGGAATTAAATAATCGTCGAAACCTTCAAAACTGCTTTTTCAGGAGAAGACTAAAATTCACTGGAACCCACTTTTAGTCTATTTCTCGAAAGTTCTGGTGACAAATATTCAAATTTAAAAAATCTAAAGAGTAAGCGCGGGTCCTACCTGAAAAAACAGTCAATTTTGCTTTGTCAGTTGATAGTTTATCGCCATTACTTTGACCGCAAAAGTACCGAAACAGATCTCTTGACTGTAAACATTGCGGTTTTTCACCAGGGGCCCGTTTCTCAAATGTTCCGATCAAGATCAGCCACAAAGTGAAAACTGCCATGGTGTTCGTTTCAGCCATCTTTATTTAATTTTATATCATTATTTTACATCATTTTACTATCAGGTTGTGTTTACACTATGCTGGTGTGAGCACCCATCCGATATGTGATTCTCCATTTTAGAGATCCGGACGCGGCGCAGAAATCGCGTCGCCACAACTGTAGAACAGAAGCCCTCTCCGTTATGATTTTCGTGGCGGCGCAAAAGCTATCCGGTATAGCCAGTATGAACATTGCTTTAATGTCAGTAAAATGAGCAATTACAGTCATTTAAACATTGGTTTATTTGGAGACTTCCTCAGCCTGTAGTACATATAAGCGGTAAAACCAGATAATGCGTACCTGAAAGAACCAAAAAATTATGCGTTATTGTTACTTTTCTTAATCCAGAAACTGCAGTGCGCAAACCGAGAAAATGCGTGCGATAATGAAAACAATTCCCGTTTGCCTTTAATCCGGCCTTTTTTTGCAGATCATCAATACTCCTGTTTTCCTTTTCAAACCCTTTACACTTTTGCGGGATATTTTGCCCGATGAAAAAATAGTTCCCTGACTTTTCACTGACTTTGACACTAACAGGAGCTCCTGACACTGTCAAAGATTTTTCCTGACTTTTCCTGGACCTAGAAAAATTATTGTTTTTGCGGCCTAACTATCCCCTGATCGTGGCAACTCTGAATCCCGGACCTTTCACACACATGGGAAAAAAACGTCGAACTCAAACCAGTTTACACTTGCGGACCAATTTCTCACACCTAGCGGAACATTTGAGCTACTACAACGTTAACTGACACGATGCTAGAAGAGAATAGCGTGTGAATGATTGCAATATCCCAATATCCCCGAAATCACACATTTTAGAATGTTCGGAAATCTAATCTAATCTTCGGAACTCTTCGGATATGATCAGGTCCTTCACGAAAACTCCGAGAGGTACCAAAATGCCCTGCCCCTTAAATACCACCTGCATACATACCAAGTAATGATGTACTGAAGATGCTCATTTCGTAGATAAACTCGAGTCTGACCTCCTTTCGGCCCTCCAGGAATTGTACTGGCTAAAAAAAGGATTAGAACATTGAGTCTAGGTTTAAACGATGTCTTAAGAAAAATAATCTACTCATTTGGGCATAACTCTAACTCTCATAACTACATACGCGGACATCTTTACGTTCAGTCCTTTAGCTGTCTGTACCTTTTTAAACAGTGTACGCGCCTTACCCTGGGTACCAGAGGTTTTTTCTCGCGCGCAACGGGGAGCTTCGCTTCGTCCGCTGCAGGCCGACACGTGTTCGGGCGGGTCACTTTTTAAGACTTGACCGAAACCGGAAACCACGCATGAAAAGCCTCTGGCACCCAGGGTATAAGCGCCTTGGTAAGTCACAACATGCCAAAACATAACGAAGCAACAGAAGAGAAATCTCGTGCTCTGATCACACTCAAGCTCTTAAGTGGAAATGCAAGCCCTAAAAATGATCCTTAAAAGGACACCTCGAACGAAGCCAGCAGATTAAAAAGTGGCTTCCAAACGAGCTGGGAAGACATTGGGAGAATGTAACTTGAGCATTTTATGGTTGATTGATTGATTGATTGATTGATTGATTAATTGAGGGACCTATAACCACAAGGGCTTCTCATGTCTTTCAAGGGGTAAAAGCATTTTTGGATAAACTAGATTTAATGAAAGTCAATGACAATATTACAAGGGAGGCAACACAAAACAATGATGATATTTAAGGAAAATGAATGTTACCAGCATCAGCATCCACAAGAATGGGTAAACTTCCTGTTACTTCAGCCATGGCATCCACATCACGTGAACACCACTGATTTTTCTCAGGATTATTTTTGGCCTGGAAGGGTTGTCTCTAAAGATAAAACAAGGATGACAACAGTAAGTAATCAGTAGCAAATATCATGAAACATTTAAGTCTAAATTCCAAACGTTCAACCTGCAATTAAGTACAAGGTGATTTTGTCCCCATCCATCTAAAATATGTGATTGACCAGCACCCTTCCAAACCTCTCATTTCATTGGTCCCTATAACCTGCACTACCTAATGTTTTCAGGGATAGGGGCATTGTTATGTCACCATCCCTATTGTCTTCCCAGCGAATCACAAAGCTTGTTTGGGATAGGTGCAGGTCAGCCCGAAATATGACCTGGGGCAGACATAGGATTTTGCAGCCTGCAAGCAAGCTCTCCAGAGCACTCTGGCGGCAGGATGGGAAAAGGAAGGAGAGCTTACAACTACATCACTTGAATTTGAATATCTGCATCAAAAAAATTGATGCAAAATGCTGATTGGCTGAGATAACATAAGTAATGACATCATTAACCTTGGCACATGTTTTTCAATGTTTGTTTACATTCGCACTAGTTTCCACTTCGTGTTGATTGGCGGAAATCTGACAGCTCAGTCAATGGGGAGCCAAAGGGGAATTGGAGGTAGAATTCAAATTCCAGAGATGTAGTTGCAAACTCTCCCTTCTTTTCCCACCCTGCATCCAGAGTGCCCCAGAGAGCTTGCTTGCAGACCTAGGATTTTGAGGGGTTGGGGTGAGAGTTTGCAGGGAAGGGAAATCTACTTCAGTTACGACAATATTTTTTGTACCATTTTTCTTCAAGGGTATTTGAAGTAAAAAGGGGAAGCAGTATCTGGGGTAAGCAGACAGGGGTGTATAGGCATCCAGGGGACCCCCCAGATTTACAACTGATGAGCATAACACATAGCTTACACACTGGAATGGAAAGGAAAGAGAGAGGCATGGGACCTGGGGCCAGTTGCATGAAACCTAACATCACAAGTAAATGTCATTGTCTGCCATAAGGTAGAAGAGATTGACTGGGTTGAACTTGTAACCAACACCTGAAATTGCAGAGGAACGAGGGAGGTGAGATCAGACATTGACATGTAAAAGTGCACTATGCAGCCGCTTCAGTCCATGTCTGATCTCATCTCACCCACCCAAACCAATGACAGCACAAGTCGGACAGACCATGACGCCAGGGCCTACCTCCCCTACTCTTTTCGAATGTTATGTGTTCTTTAACATGTCCCCTTCCAACTAATGTGCAAGGGTAAAGGAGACATGGCCAACAGCTTAATGCAGGCACCACCAAATGACATGATAATCTGAACTGAGAAAGGGTTTTAATCACAGCTAGTATGATCTCACCAGTTTTTTAAAGACCTTGATTGGTGATCTAGTGAAGGTTTGCACTCACAGCTTCCTCCTCAGCAGACTGGCATCAGCTTTCAATCGAGTTAATGAGCTGAGGGCCAGCTCAGTTGAAGCTTATGTCTGACATTGAGGCTTATGCAACTGGCCCCCGAGTTGTCACACTATCAAGCCTCAACAACATGTCACAAATTAAGATGTACCAACCTTTTCTCCTTGTCTTATAAAACCAACCAACTCAACCTCTCCTTGGATCTGTGTAATCAGTAAAAAAACTTAAGTGATTACAGAAGAAACCTAAATGAATTAACAGAATAAGTATCAGGGCTCAAAAAATCCTTGCATTCTGGCAAGTCCTTTGGGCAAGCAGCACATTAATTTTAGCTTGCCGGGGGCAACTACTTGCTTGTCTTAGGGCGCTTTCCATTTGTCAGAACTGACAGGCCAGACCATCCCCGTCGTCATGAGAAGTTCACTCTTAATCAAAATTCTCCAGCCAGATCAGTCAAATCTAGTATGCATGAAGGAGATGGTTTTTCAGCCAAAACCCTTGGAAAAAGCTTATTTCATTCTTGAACTAATTGGCCCGGCCGGCAAGTTCTGGCTAATGGAAAGCGCCCTTAGTTATTGATTTAGTTGGGAGATGACTTGCCTGGACCAGGGATTTCAATAAGAGCTGGTGGCAAGCGAAATTCGCAGGCTTTTTCATGTGAACTCTCCGTCTACTTTTCTTTGGAAATTACCATAAAAAGTGTGCTGTCACTGCATAAAAAGCCAGAATTTAATGATGTCTATGTTCTGTTCAAACACCCTAACTTTTACTCCAGAATGCTGGAAATGCATTCTAAGAAGCCCAGATTTCAAATTTTTTTCCAGAAACCCGCACCTTGCAAGTCTGAGCTTTCCCCCCTCCACCTATTCCAAAGCTTTTCCCCTAAAATCTTATTGAAAACCCTGCTGGACCCTTGCCCATTGGGCAAGTGAGCTTTAAAAGTTACTTGCCTGGCAAAAAAATCTACTCGTCCCAGACTATCAGATAGTGCTTTTTATGAGCACTGAAGTGTAGGCAAGCATTGTATTTGGTGCATCACATGTGGTGCTTGTTTATTGCTCCTGTTCTATGCAGACTTATTTCCAGACGGTACTTATTTTTTGAGTAAATACAGTTGGTAAGTACATATTTGAAAAAGCTTTATGTCTTCTGCCTGCTGTCTAAAAATAATTATAAGAAAAACATATTCACCTGTCCTTCTGGTCTCTTCTCAGGTTCAATTTTATCCCTTGGTACCCATCCTCTATTGACCAATATTCTTTGCCTTAAAGTAACATTAATAAACATCAATAATATAAAGTAAATTCGATTTTGAAATTAGTGACATAACATCTTTATAATGACAGCTAATTGGGAAAACATAGATTCCCTATTGGGTGGAGCTGGGAAGCAACAGCACCCAAAATGGCACGAGTAATAGCGTTACTATACATGTGTATTGTTTCCTATATGTACTCCATTTGACAACAGTGCCTCATTTTTCTCAGTGACTGCTTGATCGCTATCCTCTGTGAGACCACAGCACCTATGAAGACACCTTCATTTGGACTTCCACTAAGAATGAATGGAATACACAGAATGCAAACTCATCACGCGCGTTTGGACATTATAATTATAGCTCATAAATCTGATCATGTGTGATCTATCACATGAAACTTAGGCAAAGCACAGTGATAGAGCAAGGGCATTTGGACCATCGATTGTTGTCGCCTGCACTCTGTAACCTTTTGTTATAGTTTATACAAATATTTTCTTTTTTTTTTCCAATAATATATTGATCATACCAAAAGTCGCTGATTATATGAGTCAAACACTCTCTCATAAAGACTGCTAGAAAATAAACCAATTAACAGCCGTTAAGAGAAGCTTACCCAGTTTCAGACAAGTCAAGCGGTGTAATGATGTGTGCACCAGATTTTGGCCTCTGCCCCAGTCCCCCTCCACCATGTGGGCCTTCATTAAGTGACCTTGGTAACACATGAATTTCCTCTGAATGGTCAAACTTTCCTCGTAATCTGATACGGCGGTATTCCAGTTCTTTTGCCCTTAGTTTATCGATACTGCAATAATTCAAGTTGATAGACAAATAATCTTAACATAAACGGTATTTACAAAAAGCACATTTAAACAAAAAACCAGAGTTCTCAGTTACTTTTCTGATAGTTCTTGAACTGGCTGAGTTGTTCTCTCCTCAAGCTCTTTAATCAAACCTTTCTTCCACTGCAATCTGTGGATCTGCCACGTACCAAGGCCAAATGTTGATACGGGAATGATCAGCAAAAGATAATGTAATTTTGACTCCTTGGCCTCTGTATTTGCAGTTGACAACTTAAGGAAGTGATGAACTGTTCCAAAGAGAATTGAAAAAAATTCATTAGATGGTTTCCTTTAAGCATCATTACTCGTAAAGTGGACCATAAGTCTCGGTGGCAAGGTAATGGGTGTACAGTTTATCTTTTTAAAATATGAACATGTCAATAAAAGACATAAGGATTGTGATATTCTCAATACCCTCTGTTTTGTAAAAATGGGTTAGCTTTCATACATGTAGTAGGTGGTTACTGTATTGGCATTTGCAGCTTACCATTTGTTTTGATACAATGTTGTTTTGTTACATAATAATTCAGTCAAGGTTTCAATAGTTTCACATAGTTGGCTTATAGAACAAGGAAAATTCATGTCATATATTTTATTGTCCATGCACAAACTATACTTTTAGTGATCAAAAATTTTGTGCAGTTTCACTGCTTAAGTTTGTATTGAAATGACCAGTTTCCAATGGGCACAGGCAAATGAGCACCGAAGCCATCAAAGGATTGGCGATGGCAGGCTTGTCACTATGACTTCAAGCTGCCGGGTAAAAAAATAACAAGTAGGCGGGAAATCAAACAGCTACGGATTTCGTTTGGTTCTACTTTTCTTCTATTTTGCTATGAAAGTAGCCAGGGGCCATGTTCATAGTAGCCGGGGGAAATATCCCTAGCCCCCACCTTTTAATGACAGCCCTGGGATTGGAAGGCAACAAATTTTTCATTTTCCAGTGGCTTTGCCACTTGTCCATGCCTACTCGCCAACAAAACTACTTGCACAGGTTGACTGCCAGTAGGTGTTAGATTCTGGGTTTAAGTAAAGGCTAAGCAGCCTAAGAAGAACGCTTGAGCGGAAAACACGTTGAAAATGCACATAGAATCCATATACCTGTGCTGGTAATAACAATATACAGCCGAAGCTCCACTAATGGCCATTTCGCTACAACAGCCATTTTTTTGGCGGACAGTCCATACACTCACTCCTGTTTCAACCTCTCTACAGTGGCCACTTTCTTCTGTCCTCAAGGTGGCCGTTGAAGAGAGGTTCAACAAGTAGCCTGATTACATAACTTTAATTTGAAGCACTGGTCAACAAACTTGCGAAACATCTAAATCATGTTGATTTAGCTGTAAACTAACAAATTTTACATGTTAGTTTCAAGCGGTGGATCATTCAAAAGGGGAAAACTATAGCACGATCATTTTGCTTAACGCGATTTAGGTAAAGTATAAAACTCACCTTTATTTCTTCCAGCTTTGGTGAAGAGCAGCTGGTGGCATCGGGTAAAAATTCTTGCCAACACCATATCCTCCAACAGCCAGCGAAAATTTTTAGAATAAGTGAATGCTCCGATTACTTTGGCGTGCAAAATTTGCAATGTAAAAAGAAGAAAACTGTAACATTAACATTAGTCAAATTAGATACACTTCCTTTTTTACGTATTTACCAATTTTCACCAGGCGTTCTCACGTCAGTGGTCGGCCCAGTCTCTCTCCCAGTCTCTTGTAAGTCTCATTGAGCCTGCGATATTCATTGGCAAAATCAAAGATGGCGGCCAACTTGGACAGAATTCAGCAACAAATGCAAACGGAATTGGAAAAGTTCAAGTCCGTCCAAAAAGGTAATTCTTATAAAAATGTGAGAAGAGAAACTAGCAACTTATTCGTACTGTATGGATGTCAGGGATTTGTTTTCTCAGATAAAAATTGCCCTAGGGAAAATGGATGTGATTGTTGTATTAAAAAAATAGGGGAGCTTAAGGGTGAAGTACCTATGCTTAAAAAAATACTCTATACAGATATTTACAAAGATGAGTACGAACTTATAGTCTTGCCAATTGGCTAGTACCATTTAGTTAAGCTTTCAAATACTTCATGGTTAAAAATAATGGTAATCTGTAATAGGCCATGTAACAGTTACAGATGGAAGCAAGGCTGAAGTTGACCTTGTTTTGATACAAACCTTCCTACTTTATCATGTACATCAAGTTTTTCTTGTTAACTAGTACTTTTTGAGGACAATTTCCATAACAAAGCAAAAGGGGTTTGTATCAAAAAACAGTCAACCTCAGCCTCACATTCGCTCAAAGCCTAGGGTCAGGGCTGTCACTTAGATTTCAAGTTGCCGGGTAATCAAACACGTGGGGAATCAAACAGCTAGGGATTTCTTTTGGTTCTATTTTTCTTCTATTTTCCTATGAAAGTAGCTGGGGGCCACATTGTTAGTAGCCGGAGGAAATTCCGGACCTCGCATCTTAATGACAGTCCTTCAAGGGTGCTCAGCCCACAACTGTAAAATGGTCTGTTTCCAGACTTAATAATCATATGCATTCCGTTTCATCTTCAGACATACAGAAACTAGTCGGTGCCAGACAGCAGTTAGAAGCCCAGTTAAATGAAAATAAAGTTGTACAGGAGGTAAAGTATAACTGCCTACCCCTCCTTCCCTTAACCCAAAGATTACACTATCTTCTCACTTAGGACAAAATGGTGGCTTAAGGGAAGAGTAGTTGGGTGGTTTTCCTTCTCTCATACTGATCTGTTTTCCTTAAATTCTTTGTAGATAATGAATATTGTTCCCTGAAGGCTGGTTAGATAATATACACCCCTAGTCAAAAGTGTTGGGAAGATAGTACCTTTCATTTCTCTGGAAACTCCCCTCTTATTTTGTTATTATACTTACCTTAGCTCCCTGAATATGCATTTGGCTGTGATATTCTCACAGATAATGTGGTGTGATGTTGTGGACTAGAGGACAACAAAACGTGCCCTCTTTCCATTAACATGTCAACAGTAAGCCTGGACGTCAGCACACATGGACACCATGGGCAGTTGCTATCAGTCCATTTATGAGCTTACTGTAACCCACAAATAGCCCATGACATGAATGATGTTTGAAAGGTAGACCACATCACTGGGACAACTTCCCCTACTCTTTTGGAACAGAAGTGGGGGTTCCTTTACTTCCCCTTCGATTTGACTAATGACAGAAGGATGAAGGGGACAAGCCCAGTGGCTTAACGTCACCACCCAATGATGCAATCATCTAAACTCACAGCTAGCCTGACCTCACCAGTGTTTTTATAGATCCTGGTTGTTGGTCCGGCTGGAGTTTGAACCCACGACATTCCACTCGGCAGACTGGTGCTCTTCTAACTGAGCTAATCAGGGGGTGGTGGAGGTAGGGGTGGAGTGAAAGGGGCTACACAGAAGGTTAAAAAGTTGTTGTCACTACAAAAGGAATGTTGATAAGTTAGCATGAAGTACATTATGTAGATGTGCGGGTAATTTTATTAACTAAATGTGTCTTTGATAACTTTAATAATCGGCATTAAGGAGCCTCAAAGTTGCATGTTACTGTAAATCCACTATTAAGCCCCCTCTTCTCTTCCCTTTTCAGGGAAGCATGGCTTGAAATTGCAACTCACTGGTGTGGTCGTTAATGTGACTAAACATTGAGGATTGGCAACTACATTTTAAGACCTGGTTACCAATTGGCAAGCCACCTTATGTTTGAACAATAAGTTAACCCCTTAACCTGTGTCTCTAATCATATACAGTGTAGCAACTCGTTTCCCGCAGGTGGTAAAACAAAGTAGCACTCTGTGTTGTCCTACAGTTTAGGGAACTTACTGAACAAATAATTGATCGAAACATTGCCATTCAGGAAGACAAAGTTCACAATAAGACAGAGAAGTGAAGTTTATCTTTTATGGACAATGCATGGAGACCTCTCCTTGGTGAATGAGGATTTCAGTCTGATCAAAAGACTTTCACGGATTTTACGAGTATTTCAGATAATGAAAAAATTGGGTCCTCCGTCAGTGTACTAGTTTTTTCTTGTTACATAACTGCCACACTGCCTTGAAGTCATAAACTGGCCAATATTTTTCCTCTAGTCACCAGATGGCACCTGAATGAAAAGGTTAATTTCAAGCCCTGGGAAGAAAGTTATTAAGTCCCTCCCCTCCCCTCCTCCTTATTATTAATCACTGATAAATGATAGCCTGTTTTAATCAATTACGACTTTCAGGAGTCTATTGCGACTGTAAAACTTTGTGTGGACTCAGATCCAGGAATATATATCTTATTCACCAGCTTGGAGTTCTGATTTGTTTTTGATCCTCAGTGGCATGACCTCCAACTTCTTATACTTGAGCTTTTCCACTTTGCATTGCTAGTTCTTTTTGGAGAACTGATATCATCTTCTTTGCTAAATTGACTAAGCTCCCCTCTCAAATAAGCCCCCTGTCTCTATTAACATGTGTAGGAATTTTAGTAAGCAAAACAAGACCTTGATGATATTAAAGATGAAAATTTCATCTTTAATATGAATGATTACTGGAACTTCAACTACTAACATATTGATTTTAATTAATTTTATTTTTGTTTGTAGGAGCTAGATGTAATAGAAGCAGATGGCAATGTTTATAAGCTCATAGGACCTGTTCTTGTGAAACAAGATTTGGAGGAAGCTAAACAAACTGTGGCAAAACGAATTGAGTACATCACTGCAGAAATGTAAGGAGTAGACAAATGTCATTGTTGCAGTGTTCATTTAAAACAATAAAAATTCATCATTCAAGATTAAAGGGGCTATGTCACGAGGATACTACTGTTTTAGGTCAATTCTGTGCTGAAGTCATTACGTACTTTAGTGCCTTTACCCATACACAAAATGCTGCAGAAGGGTTATGAAGAAGATATAACACAACTTTCATCAGGGAGAACTATTTAATTTTGTCGATGATTTTTACAGACGTAGTATTTGAACCAACTTTTTCATGAGTTTCAGCAATCAGTGTCTGTCCTTACCATCCATCGCAACAGATGACAGAAATCAGTTTCAATGCCTAAATATAGCCTTAAATAAAAAACTGGACCAGTGATGTGAAGACAAGTTTTAACTTTTATAAGAGATAGCAAATAGCATGACATGGCCCATTTAAACTTGGCTCTGTCTTGGAGCTACCTGTATGTTCCTTACAATTGTGGGGTCTTTTTCAATGAGTAATAATTCAGCTAGTGATGACTTGGCAGTTTAAGGTTGCAGCTTAGTGGTTTAGGGTGTCACCTTGAATGTTTGAGCCTCCTACAGAAATTCCTGAGACTGTAAAGAGCTACATTTTAACATTGCATTTAACATTCAATAAAAAAATTAGGGTTTACTGTCTTGTTTCTCAGTTAAAGTGTTATTTTGTTGTGGTTTCATTGAGCCTTTCTATTTGTTGTTTATTTCTTGAGCCTTTTTTTATTGTTCTATTAAGCCTTTTTACGTACAATAAAAACAAATTTGGTACAGTTGATCTGTTGATGCTGAATTCCTAAAAATTCTGGAAGCTGTCACAAGCCACCTGAAGCATTTATGTGTGTATGTATGTATTTATTTATTGATTTAGGTGACGCTAACAGTGTGTCCAGCCATTTCTGAGGCCAGTTTTTAAGAGCCTTTTCTTTCCTTCCCTTGTTTTTGTACCTTTTAGAAAAAGAAACGATACCGGCATACAGGAAGCTGAAAAGAAGCGTAATGGATGTCAGGAGATCCTTAGCAAGCTACAGCAACAATATCAACAGTTCCTGACCAAGGCTGCTGCAAAAGCATAACGTGTCCCTGTCAATTCTCCTGCACATTTGACAGAATGTGAAATGTCTGCAATGTTTTACTGTCAAACTCAGAAAACTGTCAACACCAAAAAATTTCAGGAATGCTGATTGTTAAGGAACCAATCACATTAAAGTTCAGGACACGCAAGCAAACCTCAAAACCGCAACCTAACCAATACCATAGCTGTGTACAATTTAGTTTTCTTACGCCTTATTGGCTTTATATCACAGCATAATAACATTTCATAAATATTTCTGGTGTTCATGGTTTTGTGCATTTCACAGTAATCTTGCTGTATGGTTTATTGACTGTTAGGTTTTTTATTTATTCCAAATTACTGTTGGAAGAAGGCGGTTATTGTGGTATTAAAAAGAGTAACACAGGGCTGTCACTAAGATTTCAAGTAGCAAGATATATGAAATTATTTGTACTGACAGGAAATTTAGCAGCTAGGAAGTCCTCTATGTTCTTTACCCTGAGAAAACAGGCAACATTTGGCGATGCTACCACTGGTTTCCCCGCCAAATGACATCTGAGAAATGAGCGCAGAAATTCCATACTGATGACGCGTCACTACCCAGATCTGGGTAGTGCTTCTGATTGATTGAATCAAATTTCCAATGCGGCACAACCAATCAGAAGCACTACCCTTTCTGGGTAGTGATGCGTCATCAGTATGGAATTTCTGTGCTCGTTTCTCAGACGTCATTTGGCGGGGAAGCCAGTGGTAGCGTCACCAAATGTGGGCTGTTTTCTCAGGCTATATGTTCTTTATTTCTTTGTTTCCTCTCAAAGTAGCGGAGGGTCATGCTTGTAGTGGCCAGGGGAAATCCCTGCCCACTGATCCTTAGTGAGAGTGACAGTGTCCTTAGTTTCAAAGCCTATTGAGTGTTTGTATGTGAGGCTGGTGTTGCTGTTGCTTCAGATATAGACTGGAAATAGTTTTTTGTTTGTTTCTCTAACTTGAATTGTTGCTGGCAAAACAGAGAGCCTCAACCAGGGGCAGATCCAGGATTTTTTCTCAGGAGGGGTTGCACCACTGAGGAATGGCGTAACTGACTGTTGATGTAAACAGATTTTAATACAGAATACTAGTTGTATTAGAAAGCCACAGGTCATCTCCTCCGGGGGGGGGAGGGGAGTGTGCACCCCTGCACCGTCCCCCTGGATCTGCTCCTGTCAGCTATAAGTGGTCGTTAATTTTTCTTAACCTTTTAGGTCCCAAGAGTGACCAACAGTAATTTTCTCCTAACAACATCAGCAGATCATCATAAGTAAAGTTTATGAGAATTACTTAATTGATTACCAAAGGGAGAATTCTTTGATCTTAAACCAAATTCTCTCAACTATTCTTAATAGAAATGTATAGAGATTAGTCTCGAGAATTTGTATGTGGATCTTGGGGCGTAAAGGGTTAAGATAGAAGAGCTAGCAAAAAGTATAAACGCCCATGAAAATCACTTCCTACATGGACAGGCTATTCGCAATGCAAATACCATTTATGACTGTTTTGCTTTGATATAAGTCAGGGCCAAATTGTTTGAAAGACAATCATTATTTATTAGCACAAATCCAGGCAGGTTAGTTTGCACGAGAGAATTCGTACACTCTGTTCGTAGCTTACTCAGGATAACTGCAAAAGTGGCTTTGACAGACTGGCTCTGTTTTTCAATTCTTTGTTGAGTATGATATTTGAGTTTTATTTATCTAATTCAGTTTAGTTCTGCTAATATTTGACTGCCGCACACATCAAAATAATATCATCTTTTTTCACAAAAACCATGAATGTTGTTGAAAAGTATAGTTGCTTGTGTTCAACTCCATTTTGGGGAACGTGTCAAGATAAAAATATATTAAAGAACTTGGAGAGTTAAAACTTGTGTTGAGTGAAAGTTGTTTGCTTGAAGATTGACACTATGCGGGAATAACGCAATGGGAATAGAAGCACTCTGAGTTTTGTAGGGAAGGAAGGAATAGACTGCAAAACAGTCGTTTTTTTTCTCAAATCGGTAAAGAAATCGGTAAAGCGTGGCGTAAGAGTCTTACGAGCGCGAAGCTCGCGAGCCTCACACGCCCCTATTTTTAGTGTCTCTACCCAGTCTCGCTCTCTGTTCTCAGCCTCGTTCGAGACCTTTTGTTTGACTGCTCGGCGCGCGTACTTGAACACGCAAAAATACGGACTGTGCTGCAGTCTAAGGAAGGAAGGTTTCTAAACTCAGCTGAGCTGCGTGTGATTGAGCTATGATAATGAAATAGTTGGCATTAACTTGAGCTCATGATCTACTCCATAAAAAATACAAAAACTTCCTCACGATGGTGATCTTCGGACAAGCTCGCCATTTTCCTTCCCTTGGGCATCTCAGAGAAAAAAGAGAGACTAATTTTATTTTAAGCAAGAATAGCGAGTCAATGAATCCACGGAGAAACCTTTATCAGGAAAAAGCTCTCCTAACGAATTATTTTCGAAAGATGAATAAAAGAACGGTAAGTAGCAGGGGCGGACCCAGGATTTTTTTTAGGAGGGGGTGCACTCGTCTCTTGCTCTACTTCAACACCAATAAACCACATTTTTTTTTTTTTTTTGCAGAATACCAGTTGTATTAGAAAACCGCAGGTCATCGCAGGGAAGGGGGGGGCGCACCCCCTGCACCCTCCCCCTAGATCCGCCTCTGAGTAGGCTCAACAGTCCCAAATCTTCCGCGCCAGAGAATTTATTTTCTTGACGGGAGTCTTATAATGTCTTTTTAAGACAAATCGCTCGCATAAACTTTGGCTCCAACCCCATATGGCTTGAAAAATCATGACTCTAAGTCATAGAGTTGGGTTGAAAATAGACTTTAAAAGAAAAGAACCAGTTAATTGTGGTAGAAAAAAGACCTCGTAGACAAAAAGAAACAATACGAACTACTTTATATTACTTTTTTTGCCTCTCTATTTTTAATTCCAGAGTTGGTTGGCCTTTAACGCGGCTTCACGAGGTTTCAGCGATTCACATATTTACGTAGATTACTTCCAGAATATTACAGGATCACAACAATTTTGTGAGCTGCTCACCGTTAAGAAATTAGAAAGGTAACGTTTGTTACCGTTGCGTTCACGGTGTGATCCTTCGGTTGGTCAGGGGCACCCAACGAGGATATAGTTCAAAACCACTTAACATAGCATTATTGAACGTATTTTAGTATTCAAAGGGTAGATATAGGCATATTTTTATCCCCTAAAAACTTTTCATCTGTTCGGATTTCCTAGCTGAAAGTCTAGTGATCCGAAAATTATAGGGATAAAAACTTACCTTCTCGAAAATTTCAGCCAGCAAAAGGCTCCCGAAAATTCTAGGTGGCCTTTTTTAGGGTCAAAATCCGTTAAAAATGGGTAATTATACCATTTTGTAGATGTTCGAAAATCCTAGGGGAGGCAGGCAAGCAAGAAATTTTACAACAAATGCTCCGAAAATTCTAGATCTCAAATCGTCTTCCGAACAGATATTTTCCCGAAAATTGCCAACAAATGCTCCGAAAATTCTAGATCTCAAATCGTCTTCCGAACAGATATTTTCCCGAAAATTGCCGTTGGGTGCCCCTGGTTGGGTACCGTTATTGTCTTAGCTGAAATTGAAATGGGTAAATGCCTAGCTACAAGAGAAGCAAATCATCTGACGTGTTAAAACTTAACTCAGTTGGAACTTCGCCTCGGAGTATCAGGAGAGCAAGCGATATTAGGAGCATTAGTGTACTTGTGTTTCCGTTAAATTTTAGTTTAAAACCCTGGGCGGCAAACGCAATTTATTGGTCTACCGACTAACCTAAGCCAACAAATACCTTCACTAGGCATTAACCTAAGCCAACAAGTACCTTCTTTAAAAACTTTCTCAATCGATAATTAAGCAGTTTACTTTTAGTTTCGAAGTTAGGTTGTGCACTGAGGCCGCGTCCACACGTATTAGTTTTTATTTGGCTGAGAAGAGTTGTTTTTCTCCTGTTTGGCCTAACTAAGACCGTCACCGAAACTGCGCGCATCTATTCAAAAACGATCTCTAGAATGGAGAACTTTAAAAACGCCGGCTCCTCGATCTGAGCTTAAATTACTTAATAAAGGGGTCCAAGCGGGGTTGTCCAATAGATAGGAGGCATTTAAAAGAGAGAGGCGTTTATTCTCACTTACTGTAACAAGCTCAATCAAACTACAGTATAATATGCTTTCGGCGAAAATATCAAAAGAGTTTAAAAATAGTGGAATATCCACTCCAATTTTTTCGTCTAGGCCGACTAGAGATCCATATCACTCTTTGAAATTCCAACAGTGTCAGAATCTAGTCCTCCCTCATGGTTATTGTCTGTATCACGGTGTTGCCATCGTTAGTCTATACTTACTTTAACCTTGACATCGAACAAGATGAAAAATGCAGAGCCTTGTTGATCAAGCAAGAAGCTAGTATTTTGGACTAATTCTCATAGGGGGCGTCTATTTTTTCCCGTACTTGGAAGTGCGCGTTTATTGTTAGGTCATTTACGGTACGTGTGGACGGACGAAAACGGAAGTTTTCGAATACGATGATGTCATACATCATTTAAATACATCATACATAACGCATGCTCCGTAAGGGATGCTATCGTGTTTCCATCGTTTTAGCTTTTTCGTGTGGGCGGGTGAAAACGATTCGAATACGCTGCTTGTGGACGCGTATTTTTTACAAGCGGAGAAAAAAACACTCTCCGTTTTCAGGCCAAAAATATCCTGAGCTCGCGTCCGAGTCATGAATTGAGAATGTGACGAATGTGATGTGTAATCAACTGGGTGAAGTTAATTAGCTTAGATTTCCCAAGGGTGGAGTAAGCGTGCTGTTATCTTTTGGACAAAAGAGGTGCGAAAACCTTCTACTGTGCTGGGTTTATTGTTTATTTGTTGCTTTGTGGGTTTTTCATTAGGATAATTTGTAGTGAGCAGAATCTCGTGACTAATAAGAATTGCGACAACATTTCCAAAGTGTAAAACTATGCCAACTGAATGCATAAGACGAAAGTTTTCAAAGGTTTTTATGGTAAAAATAAGCAGCAAAGTCACAGGAGTGATTTTAAGTAATGGGTGTATCACTCCTATTACTTGTTTGATTTTGTTTGAGTTCTCAGCAAATATTCCTTTTATAAAATATCTTGTCTGCTGAATGGAAGATAAACGTTTGATAAAACTGCCGCTTGGTATGCTTAGACTTGAAATAGATAAACCCCTCCTCAATAAAAAATAAACGCACAATTAAAAAGATATAGCCCTTTCAGTCTGTATTTAGAAAGAGAACAGCTACAAACTGTTAACCGATCTAATCAAATATCTAACTCATATCTAACTTGCGGGTTGTGGGATAAAATGAATTGGTTTCTATACGAAATGATTTTGTCGGTGGAAAGTTATAGTGACAAGTCCAACACATTAACAAGTTTCAGTTCAATTAACTAAACTTAAATTTGATCAGATTGCAACATTTTCAGGCAACCTTCCAAAAGCTAAACATTGAGATGATAAAAAGCGCATTGCCACATCTCTTCTGAGGGAAAATGGAAATGGAGTAGTTTCTCTCAGAGCTCATTTCCTAATGAAAACAAATTTTCAAGTTGTCTTTTACAACAGGCGACAAACTTCTCTAAATTTTAGTGGATTTGCCACTGAAAAGTTAATTTACTCTCATTTTGCAACTTCCCAGTAATGTTTCTGAAACGTGTTGTATTTGTGGAAAATCACTTCCGCTCAAACAAAAGAATTGAGGTGTAAAAACTGTAAAGAAATTTGACAGATAAATAGCCGCTTCACATAACAAAAACATATTCTTAACTGTAATTAGCTCAATTTTTAAAGTGAGATAAATTTGTGTTTGAATAGACGCTCCTAAATAGAGAACAATAAAAGCATCTGATTGTCAAGTTTTCCCATAAAAAGCGTTTCAGATCAAGTGTTACCCTCATTCTGATCTCTAGATCACGGAGTGCGGTTGAGCCGTTTTTTTCTAAACCATAGTGCGCGAAAATTGCTAGATTCCGTAAACAGTTCAGTTCGAATTCATCAGCGAAGGAGACTAAGGAGATTCCAATGGCCACGGTTTCTGATGTCCCGTGCACCAAAGCTGTTGTTGCTGAAGCACATTCTACACGAGGCGAGGACTTAAATCGGTCCCAAAATGCGCAAGTTCAAGAGGATCGGAATTCTAAATCCACAAGACCATGCGGTGACCAAAGCAGAAAGACAGGTCGCGCAGCGCCGCAACGCGGAAAAATGGATGGTGAAACCAAGACGATTTCTGCGTGCCTCCGAAATCCTGAGCTGTGGGACCTATTTCATAGCCAAGACACCGAGATGATTATCACCAAGGCGGGAAGGTATGTAAACGTCTTTCATGGTGACTTCTTGAAAGAAATCCAGGTCTACATTTGTCGTATAAATTCATGTAGCAAAGAGTTCAATAGTACGATTAGATGTTTTTCAAGGTCGATAGATTTGTGCACCTTACCAAGGCGATGAAATACTCAAGCAAGTTTTAAAACATTACAAATTTGAATTTTCTCCAAGAAGAGGAGGAAACAGAAGATCAAATTGTAGAGAAAATTTTCCAGTCTCTTTAGATTATTTGCATAGGGTCGGATGCACAAAATACATTTAGTTTTCGCTCGTCTATTTTGGACCTGATACAGCATCGCATTTGATCACGAGGAACTGAAGTTGATTCCCGTTAATCTTTAAAGTCTTAACTGTGGACAAATTTTAAATTTAATTTTTTTCCAAGCCACATAGATTTCTTTTATACAATAATTTGACTCCTTTGCATTTTTTATCGTTAGACGCAGATTTATGCAAAATTTTTGGTGTACTTTTGTTGAGGCATCAGTCCTACTCTGATCTCCCCAGGGATTGAGAGTAAGAATTTTTATTATCATTGAAAGCATGCTCCGAATATAAAATCATTCCAAACAAAACCATTGAAAAGAATTTTAACCTAGTGAAAGTAAAATTGATCAAGAAGCGATCCACTCCTTTTGACTGTGGCGTCAAACAGATTGCACACCTTTTACCCGACAACCGCAAAGCGAGGGGTGGGGCCCATTCAAGTTTCTGGCGTTTATGACTTTCGATGGCAAAAATAGAACTTACATGTATATGGTTTGCAACGCGAACTTATCATCTCAAAGCACAAAAACTGTTCGTATCGAAGAAGCTGCCATCCCAGAAAAGTAAAGAGAGAAAAACTTTCATGGCGGTGAAGTCTTGGACGTAAGGAATAACGGAAGTGACCGATTTCAAATTTCATGCAAATGACAAATTTTTGAACGGACAAAAACCTGAAAAACTTGCATGGATCTGCCTTTCGTTTACACGGGATCCGCGGAAGCGTGCATGTTTTTGAAAGGAAAACAGTTCCGCAATCTGTTACAGAATTTGCACAGTTCGGTGTAAACGGTTTGCGCAGTTAAAAAATCCGTCCTTTCAAAAAATTGTCAGGAACCGTCTAAACGGGGTGTTAGAAGTATTAGATCCTAATAGAGGTTCATTATCAAGCCCTTGCAAACGGAGGCAACTTTGTTGGATGTTATGGGTTTGTTGCATATTGTTCCGTGTTGTTGGGAATTGTTGCACAAAGTTTTAAACCGGTCAAACTTTCAGCTACGTGCAACAACTGTCAACATTGCTGGGCCAACAATGTTGGGAGTTGTTGCGTCCGTTTGCACGTAGGGGAGGGCTGGACGAGAAAGTGAAGCGAAAAAGATTTTGTTCGCGATAGAAAATGATGGTCGCGCCTCCATTTCTCCATTTCTCTCCCGTAATGATTAATAGGGAAGGCAAGTGCAACCTCTGAAAACATGTTTTGTATTCCAGGCGCATGTTCCCAGTCCCAGACTTTTGCCTCGCTGGACTCGAACCAAACCAGTACTACGGCTGTGCAGTGGAAGTGATTGCCGTCGATTCCTTGCGCTATCGCTACAAAAGTAACCAGGGATGGGTCCCTGCGGGAAAAGGGATTCCAGTAGACGAGGCCAACAGCAAGTACCTTCATCCAAACTCGGCCAGCCTGGGGCAGTACTGGATGCGTGAGGGAGCCATTTTTGACAAGCTCAAACTGTCAAATCACATTCACCCAAGAGGCGGAAACGTAAGTGTAGAATAACGAGAATGATTAGAATAAGCTATGGATCAGACAGAGATGGTAATCTTTTAATAGCTTAAAAGTGAAGAGCAAAACCAAAAATTGAAGTTATTTAGAATAGGCAACAAAGTTCGTGCGAATTGAGACTTGACGCGCATATAATGATTCTTGTTTTTCAAAACCCGCGTTCAATGGGTAAAACGAAGGAGGACTGGGTACAAGTGCAGGTACTATGGAACGTTGTTCATTTGGCCTATGTTAAACACGATACAGCTAAAAAAACTTGAAAATTTAATAAGAGATGATTGCCGGAGACATTGTCCGCACGTTCATATTTCTTAGCAAATTTTGGAGTTTTTGAATGGCTGTATCTCGTTCAATATAGGCCTGATACTCAGACACCAAGCTCGAGGTTTTTTTTCAAAATCTGTTGGTAAATTTTGTTCTTACGTAGAAACAGGGGCACCCAACGTCAATTTTCGGAAAATATCTGTTCGGAAGATGATTTGAGATCTAGAATTTTCGGAACATTTGTTGTAAAATGTTTTGCTTGCCTGCCTCTCCTAGGATTTTCGAACATCTAAAAAATGGTATAATTGCCCATTTCTGACGGATTTTTCCCCTAAAAAGGTCACCTAGAATTTTCGGGAGCCTTTTTTCTGGCTAAAATTTTCGAAAAGATAAGTTTTGATCCCTATAATTTTCAGATCACTAGACTTTCAGCTAGGAAATCCGAACAGATGAAAAATTTTTAGGGGATAAAAGTATACCTATCTCTGCCGTTCAAATACTGAATACATTTAACAATGCTATTTTTAAGTGGTTTTGATCTATATTCTCGTTTGGTGCCCCTGTAGAAATTGAATGGAAATTCAGTGGAACTATTGGACCTATTGGGTAAACTTATAGTTCGGGTGGGGGTCTGGAGTACTCGCCTCCAAAGACTGAAATAAGTGTAATCAAATGGTGACGAGTGAAATTACGGAATAATTTCACGCTCGTTTACTTTTGTCCAAATCCTTATAATTTCCCGAACTCTCCACATGTGAAATTACAAATTAACGCTGAAATTTCGCGCCAAAATGAAGGAGTCATTCGTCACAGTTAGCTGGGAAACTGACAAGCTATTTTATTTTCAGATCGTTATCAACTCCATGCAGAAGTACCGACTGAGGCTTATTGTGACTAAAATGGGCATGCGCCATTGCGACCAATGGGTGTTTAACTTCCCGGAGACCCAGTTCATCACGGTCACTAGTTACCAGAACCCCCGGATGACTCAGCTAAAGATTGATAACAATCCATTCGCTAAGGCTTTCAGAGAGGGAAAGAGGTATGTTAACATTTTATTTTTAATTAAAGGTTTCATTAGATGTAGCAGAAAAGTGGGAAACCATCATCGTACACAAATATAGTTTAATCAGGAGCTCCTAACACGGATGAGCAACTCTCGTAGCAGGCCTTTTAGACACGTTTTTGGGCACTTTTTTCCCGCTCAATAGGGGTGACTATTGGGGAAATTTAACTATTGCAATTGTTTTGCATTAAGTGACGTGGATATTGCGATTTAGTATTGCGATGGTGGAGGTACTATTGCAATAGTATTGCGATAGTTTTCAGCCTTCCCCTGTTTTGTTTTCAACGATTACAAAATTGGCAGCCCTGTTTGAAATTTGAACGAACCTCAGCAATTTAACCCCCCTCTAACATTAGACCCAAAGCGGTTCAAGACTTCAAGAAGCTTAGACTTTTTGTTGATAATTGTGACCTTGAGAATCAAAGATGGGTAAAAAGGGCGTCTTTACTTTCCGAAAAAGTTAAAATGTTAGAAGTGTAGAAACTATCAAAACTATCGATAGATTGGTACACTATCGCGATTGTTGTCAATGTTTCATTTTTACTATCGATCTATCGCTATGGCACCGTTAATATCGCAATTAATCGATAGTTCGATGTGTTGTTACAGCCTTACCGCTCTGTCTATGTTCACATTCAATGTATGAGATATATAAAAAAGGAAAGATAACGTCTTTGAAATGTTTGAAATACCGTTTTCAGATCTTCAGCGGTCAATTTATAAAACTTTTACACCTGTAATTTATAAGGGTAGCCATTGTTTTAGAGTCCGAGAACAATAGCTACACTTGTAAATTACACGTGTAAAAGTTTTATTAAATTGACCCCAGGTTTTGCTTATTATTCTTCTAGACATCAGTGATGTTCTAGATTAGCGCCAACATCATTCTAAAAATATAACATAGTCCGTGCATGTGAAATCCGTGACACGAGTTACCAGTACGCGGAAGTTACATGCTCTGTATCATGGGCTCCTGGTTATTGCGTGCAAAGATTGACCAATCTTTCTCATGAATGTTTTTGAATCGCTAAAAGTTAAGCAAGAGAGATCTTAAATTACTGCAAAAGGCCAACTTCAGATTGGAGATCAAAATTTCTCAAATTAGGGATCGGAATGAACACATAAACAAACACAACAAACAACAACAATCAAAATTTACCCACGTAACAGTGACGTAACACAAGAACTTATAGAAGCTCGCTTAAAGAGGCATAAAAATGTTCAGATACTTCTTATGGATGAACTAGCGTAAAACGATTTATTTTTCCAAAAAGTATCACCTGGTACACATAAGTAAACGTAATCCTCGTCTCTTTAATAAATTAACGACCTCACTTCACAGGCTTAAACAGAAAGGGTATCTAATAGCTTGCACCTGAACTCTATACTCAGTTTTGTAGCAGTTCCAAGGAGTTAAAAACAGCGTGAAGATGGTGTTCAAACGTTATGGGTCTCCGGCGAGCTTAGTGGAAACTAGTGGGTGTACTAAAATTTTTTATCGCGAAAACACATCCGGCTATAGGAAGGGCGTCTTTGAAAGAGGGGGCGGATGTGCGATTACTGAGTAAAACTGATAAGTGGGGGAAGTTGAAAGACGCGACTTTAGGGCGTTTCCGCTTAGACAAATTTGAAGCATATTTCAGCACTTTCCGACCAAAAAATGACTGCTCTGTACTGACAACTACCGGTACTTCCATTTATAGATGACAGTTATTTTTCACTGTTTCTAGATCAAGCAGACAAGAAAGCACCGACTCAAAACCCAAGAAACGAAGAATCCGCTTCCCTTCTCCACCACCGATAATTCGCTACCAGACCCCCTTTATTAACTTCCTTAGCAGCCAAGATCAACCGCCAGTGACCTCGACTCTACCTCCTCCGCCACCGCCACCACTGTCGCACGACTGGCCCGAAGAAGGTTACACTACGAGACCACTGCACGTATCGAGCGATCTGCCATTTTCATGGGAAAGAGACGACCTGATGGCGCCAGCTCAGTTGTCTGCAATTCCTTCCATGAGCTCAAGTTTCAAAGTCGAAGTCAATGGCACTCTTCATTGGCGCGAAAACTACTCCTTCCCGCATTTTGAGCCGCCCGCCCAGGAAGAATTTCATCCTCAGTTTCCCACGCCCTGCTGGTCGGCGCCACCTAGTTCAGCATTCAGTGTGTACGAGGATGCGCAGATGCACATGCAGCACTACCTTTCACGTGACCAGTTTTGGCGAGAGTGTTAAGATCACTGATCAAACCGAGAACGATGAGCATCTGCTTCTATTGCTCGAAAACTAAATGAAGACCAACTGCTATCGGGACCGGAATTGTTCCGTAAAGTGTCCCTGTGATTAGAATCATTTGTATTTTTAAATTAAGCCATGTGAACAATAATGAACATTTAGCATACACTGACTTCGGTTGTATTTTCAGCCTGCAAGCATTTGTGAAATTCCTTCATAAGATTTATAGCCATCGCTAGCTTCTGAAAAGTGCTCCGTACTCTTAATTCATAGTCCTACGGAATTCCTATTGTGTGTTCTCTCACACTTGCCTATCTCAGAAATAGATTTTTTCTTTCAAAAATGCTTTCGGAATTCACTTTTAGTTTTCCTATATTCCAATTAGTATATCTGGAATTTGTGTAGGCATACGAACTTATGCGCATGTGCTTAGTCCTAACTAGTACTATTTAAATGCAACTTAGTTTCTGATAGTCGTTTGCATATTCCTCGTGTCATGACTTTTACAAGCAAACGTTTGTAAAAATGAACCAGGTAGACAGAAGCTTTAGTAACAAACTTCTGTTATGAAGCGAACAAAAGGCTTAATGCGAAAGAGACACATAAAAAAGGTGTCAATTGATTTGTTAATATTTAAAGATATTACTCCTCTTTTGGTTACAGTTTGGCAGAAAATTGCATGACATTGTAGAGATCTCAGACTCGTTTTCAGTCGCAATAAAACTGAAATGTATGGAATATTATTTATTACTTCTGGCGTCTCTTATATATTTTTGCTACCCAAATACTAAATCATGTGAACGCATGCAATAACTTAGCCTGCGAACCGCAGACGCATTTCCGGTACTTTTCGGAGGGAGAGAAGCGACGACCGGAAATGCGTCTGCTGTTCGCAGGCTAGCAATAACTTATCTCTAGAAAAATCCCCACTTTCAAGAATGAGGCCAAGTGCACAACCTTAATTTCTTGTGAAAATGATTTTTATCATCATGAGAATGAAAAATAATTTCCATATCAAAGGCTGAGCACTTAACCTCGTTTTGATACAGAGGCCCGGGGAAATATTGATTGGTCGTTGCTTTGGCTCAGAAATTGGTGTGAGGAAGTCGGGTTGGTTTCTAGCTTTAGCTAGCCTCTTCCAGGCGCTCAGACTGGAGGGATTGGCTAGGGGGGAAGAGAGAAGCGAAACAGGCAAAACCAAACAAAAACACGGTTGTGAGGAAATGGGAGAGAAGACAGTCAAATCCACTCTCCCCAGTTTCCCCTCTGTTTTTCTCTTCGTCCTCAGGATCTTTGGTGAGAGTGTTTTGTCCCGGGTGGCTCTCCGTGAGTTTGGCCATGGATTCATGTCAGATTTGTATACTTCAGTCAGATAACAAAAAATATGGAAAATATATAATAGAGAAAATAGCCTATGGATTTTAGCATTACAAACCATCAATTGTTGTCTCGATGTCGACATGTCGAGACAGAAAAAAACTCAATGATAAGAACTATACACCGGAAGTCACGCTCCTCATATTACAGTCGCGTATGTGCACATGGATACTATAAGTTCAAATGTAATAAACATTCCAAAGCACTGGTAATGGAAATAGGGATGACTTCTAAATAAACACTGTAGATAAACAGCAATAAGATAAAATCAACTTCCTATACACAGGATACTTAACATCAAAACTAATGGGTCAATATGCCCTCAATGCCCCCCGTGTGCGGGAAAGGGTAGTCGATCAAGATTTGGGTTTTGGTGAGCGTCAACAAGGCAAAAAAAAAAAAATAGGCTTCCTAGTATTTTTGTCATCCTTTTTTAAAGTACTGAAATCTTTTCAAAAAGTGAAATGTGTGTTTCTATCTCATGTATGTAACTAGACTGCAAAACAGTCGGTTTTTTCTCAAAATCAGTAAAGCGTGGCGTAAGAGTCTTACGCGCGCGAAGTCTCCCTCTCTGTTTTCAGCCTCGTTCCAGACCTTTTGTTTAACTGCTCGCGCGTACTTGAATACGCAAAAATACGGACTGTTTTGCAGTCTAGTCCAGTCAAAAGTCCAGTCTAGTATGTAACTAGCCTTCGAAAGGCAGACGTTTCTCCTCGCTCATCACCGCTGAGGGACGTTAGGAGAAACGTCTGTTTTCGCAGGCTTGTTTGTAACCAGAACCTCAAAATATACCGGAACTTCCTCTGCTGTCAGAGTGTATAATTTTTTTCAATTATTATGAGTGCCCTTGGGAAAATGGATCTATGCTTTCCTTTTTCTTTGATTTAAGATGTGAAGAATATCCTTTTTAGCACTGTTTTTCATTCCGAAGAACGTCCGAAGAGATTGCGAATCAGTGATTGAATTTGATTGAATCAGTGTTTCGAAGATAACTTCCGGTCTAGTATTTCATTTGTATCACGTGGGTCGATCTCCTATCAAGTCCATCAATGACCGTTGTCTCTTCAATATGAGCCTTGTGATTTCGCTACCATACAATGCAGGTTTTTATCCCTGAAAGAATTTCTTTGAAAACTTTAACATGACAAACGAGGATTTTCTTTCACACTACACTAGAAAGACGCGGTTTTGGAACCGCTAAATCACAGATAATGATGCCTGCTCAAGATTCATCGACCTTTCAAAGCCCCCAAGTGAGTAACTTGTTTTCTTTCGTGCACGCTCATTCACACAAATAGCGAATACTATTTTTTAAGTTTTGCTCACACCTCTTCAAGTATTCTTTGGATAATAGAGATTTGAATTATTTTGCGCATAATTCCCTTGTACATTGGTTAGCGAGAGTTCGGTGATCGCTTAGCAATGGTGACTTGTACAAATTGATCCGTATCATGCTTATTGCAATCAAATGACTTTCAAGCGTCGATCTACAATTCTTATTATATTTCTCAGCTTGTAAAACCGTCCTTATTCTACAAGTCTTAAAATTGTTTAACGTCCATGTTTAAGGGAATAGGTGAGCGAACCTATAGGACCAAAACTAGCTTCCTGCCGGAAATTCTTTACAAATTATTTTGAACGACGACGACTTTAATTTTTACTCCGTAAAGAAGGAAGTTTAGTCTTTGATAGTAGAAATTCGCGGTAACTTTGTAAACGTTAGTAAATCATACTTCACCTTGTTTTTTTAGAGAGTTTTTTGGAAGGAGCAACGCGAAAAAGACGCTGTGTATTCGATATCCTTGAAGAGGGTGCGATATCGCTCTAGTGACATCTTTCTGCCAGCTTCGCCAGAAGATGAAGAATCTATGTCTGGTCTTCAGTGGGAAACACTGCGTGTAAAAACAATTAAAGCCGGTTCCTTGCCCAAACTTGTTGAACACCTTTCACCCATAAAAGTAGCATCGGAAGAACTGGACCCTGGATTTCTTATTGCGTTTCTAAGTACCTACAGAACTTTTGCCAAGACTACCGAAGTTGTAGATCTTTTGTTCGACCGGTAAGTATGATAATAAACTCAAGTTAAGCTTTTTAAATACTGTACTTTTGTTTACATTTTTACGAATCTTATTCGTTTGATCTTTCATTTTCGTATGACTATAGATTATTTTGTGAATTTCCCTGTTCCATTACCCCTGAGGTTATTATGATGTTGTAGCTATTTTGTTTTAGTTAGTCATGCCATTATACAGTTTCTTTGTCTCCGTGAACAATAAGCTTACACATTTGCATTCAAAGTCAGTAAGGTTCTACATGCATGGTAATTCAGGGTCGAATTGAATGGTAAACATCGTCGTGAATTTTAAGTAATTGTAAACATTAATAACGAGTTTCTAAGTTTTTTTTCCTCCGCTATTGACAAGTTTTCCACAGCACTGAAGTGGAGATCACGAGTGAGATCATCTTTACGTCAAGAATGATTAAAAGTATTAATTGTTGATATCAATTAATTATTGTTGTTAATGGAACACCAACAGGCTATTTTTAGTCTCACATTTGTATTACAAAAGATGTCCAAAACCTCTCAATACGTTTTTTTTTGTTTTTTGTTATGAACTAAAAGCCCAAGTTGTTCAAGATGGATGATTGAGGAAGTTTTCCTGACAGGGAAAAAGTTTTCTATTGCTTTTATAAAATAACTTTCCCGAGAAAAGACGTAAAACTCTTTGTATGGCAGTGATTGAAAGAGAAATTCTTACTAGTCGCAAAGTCTTGTCCACAAAGTCTTGCATGCATAATCAGTTCTTGTTTTACAAAAAGATGCTTTACAAAATATGTACTTTTCTCGCTTAAAATGTCAGCTTAAGCGAAAAAAAATTGACACACTTTCTTTGTAAAAATTTTCCAAGTTTTAGCCAACAAAGGAATGGGTAAATAAAGTAACCTTGACGAGTTTTGAACTTGCAAACGTTTTCAAATTCGGGCTTGTGTAATTAGTGCGCGAAAAGCAAAACATCTTGACGCCACAACCATGTTTACATACTCTCATGCAAACACTACTCTCAGCCAATCAGAGTGCGCATACTATCTTAGTTATTTTGTAATAAAGTATAAAGAAGTGGTTTTCCCTTTGATTCTCATTCTCTTTGCCGTTCCCAATATTACTGAAATAGGCATTCCTAATTGATTCAGATGCTGGGGGGGGGGAGGGGGGACTCCCCTTATTTCGTCTCAATGGCAAATGCTGCTGAAAGCCTTATTGATTTCAGAGTCTTGAGTCTTAAACTGTGTATACAATTTCACCATTAAGCATCTTGAACAGGGTGTCTTTTTAAATCCAAAGCCTATTAAAGAGTTGGAATGTTGGCAATGAGTAGTCTTCAGTCTTCAAATTTTGATACCAACAATGAATGTTTTTTTCAATAAATTTAATTCCATGATGTTTGAAAAATTTTAAAATAATCAATTCTCTGTGCGAAACAAAATGAATCAGGGTCATGAAATTAGGTCTCTTGTCTTTAAAAAGGGTAGAGAAATGACCCATTTTTGTCTCAAGCAGGGTCAGGGTTGAAGTCCTTAGTGGCACACCCCTGTCCACAGTTCCTTGAGTGCCTTCTCCCTCTCCAGCTGCTCTTTGTCCCATCTGTCATGAAATCTCTGGGTATTTTATTCATAAATTCTAGTCACGTTGCTTTAATTTTTATCTGTAGATATCGACTGTTCCTTCGCAATGATTCTGGGGAGAAAGAGGAGGTCATTGAAGGTGTTCTCAGGTAATCAAACAAGGTCCTAGAATAATATGTCCATTAATCGAATCTGTGAAAATGGACCCTTATGCATCCCCTGTTTCTCCAACGTAAGATAGTGCCTGTAAATTTTCCGGAAGTATCCAAGTCTTGGTGATAACTTTGATTCAAATTTAGCAGACCAAAAAGCTTCTAATTTGAGGCAGCCAAATTTTATAATTTAGTAATTTAATTGTTTGTAGGGAAGGAATTAAAGATCTCGTGCTTAACTGGGAACTAAAGAAAGACAGACTAGGGAAGTAAAAAATATCAAAAATTAATAATAATATTGATAAATGGACAGTCATAACTGAGGTCTACGGCTGTACTTAAAGCACATGGCTATTAGGCCTGGGTTTAAAACTATTATTCCAGCAACAAGCATTGAAAGTTCAACTAAAATCTTTGTGCAGAGTTTTTCTCAGGGTTGTCAGAAAGTTTTGAAGTAGACGGCTGAGTTGTCAAAGTAAGCGGCCAGTCCAGGGATAAGTTATGTAAAAAACTCCATCTGTAAAGAAATGCCAAGCAGAGTAGCCGGCCGATACTAACCAAGTAGGCAGCGATTTTCACTGGCAGCCGGCTACTTTTGACAACCTTGTTTTCTTGAGTCTGCTAGCTGCCAGGTGAGTCATTGCGAATTAATTGTATTACTTAAATTTCATGTTCTGTCTTTTGTCAGGGGTATTGTATCAGTGTTTGCTGTTTGGTTGGAGCAGTTTCCAGCAGATTTTGATGATCCTCCCAAGTACCTATCCCTGAATAGAATGCTCCATTTTGTAACATCAGAGGTGAAGGAGAACCATAGAGATGAGCTCACCAAGAAGATCAAACATCGACTGGACAAGTTTAGAATCACGCCTTATGAAGATGAAGGTAAGACACTGTGTAACTTAAATCTGTAGACAGAAAAGAAAATAGGAGTCGTCATGAAGACAAGCAGTCAAACCTACCCCTCCCCCCAAGTATGCTTATGAAAATCAGACCACAGGGGGTCTCTTCCGAGAAGAGGTCCAGACACATCTTCTTTGCATACAATATCTAAGTTACATATAATTATCTGTCACCATGCGTCAAGTTTGTAACCAGTGAGCAAGCTTTTTGTGAGGGGGGTGGGAGGGGGGGTCTGGTGGAGGGGTGGGAAAAGGAAGGAGAGCTTGCAACTACATCTCTGGAATTTGAATGTCTGCATCAAAAAAGTCGATGTGGAATGCTGATTGGTGGAGATGATATTAGTAACAGCGTGCAAAGAAAGTAGTGTCAGATAGCTGGGGGCTAGTGGATTTTGCTATCGGGCTAGTGAATTCTGTTTTTAACTTGTCCAACGGGCAAGTGATGTTTTATGAGGAGTTTGAATAACAGAAGAACACAAAGTTTTTGGGGCTAGTTGAAATGACGTCTGGGCTAGTAAATGCTAGCTTCAGCTTTCCCAAATGGAAAGCTTTAAAAATGATTTTCTTTGCACCCTGAGTAATGATGTCATTACCCTTGGCATGTGTTTTTCAATGTTTGTTTACATTCGTGCTCATTTCTGCTTTGCGCTGATTGGCGGAAATCTGACAGCTCAATCAATGAGGAGCCACGGGAATTAATTGGAAGTGGAATTAAAGTTCCAGAGACATAGTTGCAAGCTCTCCTTCCTTTTCCCTCCCGGACGCCAGAGTGCCCTGGAGAGCTTGCTCGCAAGCTAACTTACAAGAGGATAAAAACAATGGGAAACTATAAAACTGTTAGGCCAAAAAAGTGGTCACAGTTGCTTATGAGAGGTAGTTGTTTAGGAGATGCTCTTAATTACAGGGCTTTGACTGGGAAAATTTTGGCATCTGACAATAGCCTGTGCCACAGACAAAACTCTGGTTAAGTCCGTCTGCGAAACTGTGTTGAAATCCTTGTTGTGGGCCCCCACCTGTGTACCAGGATTTGAGTGTGTGCTATGATTAGCCTGCTAAAGAAGCCATTGTCGATTTGCCAATCAGATTTAAAGGAAATTTGAAACGCACTTGCAGTAATTTGTGGAGTCCATATGGCCATTGGGGCCCAGAACAAGGATCTTGGCACTGCTTAAATTAGGAGACGTTACTAAACAGGACGACGCAGGCTCATCTGACAAGAAAAATGTTAATTTTGTTTTTGCTAGATTATGATTTTGTCACCTTTCACCTCCCTGTATCATCAAATATTAACAATACTGATGAGGTTGACATGTGTCCCATCCAAGAAGAATCTACTGATCCTAAAGACCTTTTGGCTATTGAACCTTCCCACTGTGCGGAGCAGTTAACAATCATGGACGCTGTAAGTAAATTTTGTAGCTACAGTGTTAGCCTGCATAGCAAGTGTTTCCAGTTGAGTTATTGTGCGAAAGTTAGAGCAGGAGCGAAAAAAAAATGGAAGGGGGAAGAGTGTGCAGGTTAAGCAGGGTCTCATACAGCTTAAACTCCATTAAGCTTAATTGATTACTGACTCTTATAATTTTCATTTTTTATTGGCATGACAAAAAAAAATCATCTCACTTGGCCTTAAGCTTGTCTTCTTCAGGAAGCTTTTATGGCTTTCATGTGTGGAAAAATCAGGGGTCTGTATTAGTGCAGTTGTATTTTTTTTAAATTGGTCATCGAGGCTGCCATTATTATGTCGAAAAATATACTTGCCCTTGCTAGATTTTACTTGCCCATAATCATCCCTTTAAATAACAGACATTAGATCAGTGTCTCAAGAGTGTCTTTAAGTGAGGAAGTGATCATGAGGTGTATGCAGGGTTGTCAGAAAACTTTGAAGTAGACAGCTGAGTTGTCATCATCATCATCATCATCAAAATGTTTTTTCATGAGTCCATGGGATCACATGGCTTTTTCCAATATACACCCCATCATTAGTGGCAGAGAAGTAAATATTGGGTGAATGATGTCCCCCAGAACATTTTTGATATAATCTGGGTAGGATGTCATTGGTCAACCCAGGCCATTAGAGTGTATTAGTGTCATGCCATTTTCCAGAGTTTAATCTGAAGACAGACTCTAAAACTCTGACCATTGCAGTTCACTGAAAAGGGTTCAGTGAAAAATATGGTGAGTCCTTCATATTGAAAAAAAGTCCCAGTTCAAAAAACAAAGACTTTATGTAAAAAATAATGAAGACAGACTTAAAACAACAGTTTACCAAAAGAACCTCTTCTATTGAAAAGCACAACAAAGAGTAAAAAAATAATGCTGTTCAACCAGGGGATAATGTTCTAGACTAGAATGGTAGCTTCACTGGCCAAAAACTTCACTTGCCAGTCATGACAATCAGTCATGCGCGCACTCTCAAATCTTGAAAAAACAGCGAAATCCTCACCTGTAAATATCCTCTTTGTAAAAGTAAAATCAGGTTCACAAATAGAAAATTAAACAAGGATAAGTTAACTTTTTTCCCAATATTTTGACTGGCCAGAAACGAGATTTGATTGAGCAAAAATTTCTTTGACCGAGCATCGTGTCCTGTCACCGTTCAAAAATTATTTTGAGCCCGAAGGACAGCCTCAGAAATTACACAAACAAGACATTCTACAAAAACATCTTCAGATCGATCAATCTGAAAGAGTAAACTGTCTGTACAGTCATGCAATATCATTGCTGAACTGATTTTTTATGGTAGCACTTTTTTCTGTTAAACAGAAGCTGTTCAAGAAAGTAGTAGCTTGGCATTGCCTTGGTTGTGTATGGGGTAAGAAAAAGAAGGAAGGGAGAGCCCCAACCGTAAAGGCCACAGTTGACCAGTTCAATGCGGTATCTCTCCGTGTCATCTCATCAATCCTTACCTCCTCAAGTAGCAAGACTAGTGGGCCTAATACAAGAGGAAAATATATCTGCTGGTGGATTAGTGTTGCCCAGGTATGTTAACTACTGTACAAACGTGCTCTGTTAAACATACTATGCATGTTGTGCTGCTGGGTCTCTGAGACTCTGGACCTGCCTCAGACAAAATAAGATGAATTTGCGACTCTGTACTAGACAGTAGTAAAAACAGGAATCCTGTTCCAGATAATAAGCATAACATGTATTAGAGATGTCTATAGTAAAGGAAATGTGAGATGTGCTAATGTAGCTTGGAAATGTATGTAACCTCATGATGGTATGAAAGTGGCCTACATTATTATAATTATTAAGAAGAACTAAATCTTGGGTGGTTTCCTTTGTGCCTAGCTCAGACGAGGGTAAGCATTTTTTTGCACTTAAGCTTTATCAAGAATAATCAGGGATTATGGGGAAAATCATCCTTGTTTGAGAGTCAAACTAAAGTAAAATAATATTATACCCTTTAAGCTTTTTCTGAGGTGAAGGGTTTATTTTTTTACCCTGTTCCAGAGTCAGAGCAACAAAAAGCATACCCTGTTAAATGGCACATTACCCATACAGCCGACCCATATATAGAAGTCCCCCAACCCCTGGGGATTTAGGGTGCCTAGGGTTTCTAAGGGCTTCCAGAGGGTGCCAGTGCTAGCAATTACTGAAAATTATCCAACTACACACAAGGTTTCCACGTACTTTCCTACCTACCTGTTTTTGTCACCCTGAATAAACTGGAAAAAGGGGAAATGAGGGGTGGGCAACTGAAGACTAAAGACTGAAGACTTAGTGAGCAAAGAAATTGAACAACTGCCATTGGCAAACGTTGTTGCAAACCATACACTCAAGAGTTATTGAGGAAACTTGTTTGAGCATGCTCCAGATAGATACACTGCTGACCACTGGGCAGTAGTTCAAGACAAAATTTCAGTCTTTACTACACTTGTCAGAACTTCTAATCAGCAGACACAATTAGGACTAGATTGTGTCAGCATATTATTGCAGGGTAAGTATAATTCTTGCTGGGGCCTCACGAGGTGTCTATCTACAGAATGTCTCTTTTAGCAAAGGTTCAACTGTCAGTACAGTGATGTCTTGTGTAATAATTATGTGTCATGTTACCTAGTCATGCAAATCCTTGAATATACTAAATATGAACTAAAATAATGTCCAAAGTGGTGCTTAATGATAAGGTCTTTTTATGTCTTATAGGAATGCAGAGATCTAAAGAACTTCTCATCAGTTAAAGCTATTTTATCAGGCTTGCAGTCAGCTCCAATACACAGACTTAAAAAATCCTGGTCTCATGTCTCAAGGTAATAAATTGTTTCTCCATTTGTCTGGCCAGTTGTATACTGTTTTGGGTATTGACCCCTTTAACCCTTTAAGTCCCAATAGTGACCAAGATCAATTTTCTCCTAACAATATCCATAGACTGTCAAGAGATAAGTTATGAGAATAAATAAAATGATCACCCAAGAGAAAAGGCCTTGATCTATCATCAAATTCTCTCAACTAATTTTTTTAAGGAAATGTATGAAGATTAGTGTGGAGAATTTGTATGTGGATACTGGGGCTTAAAGGGTTAAGTCCCAAGAGAGGGACCAACATCAATTTTCTCTGAACAACATCAATGCATACAGTAAATCCGGGTTGTCAAAAGTAGCTGGCTGCCGGCAAAAACCGCTGCCTACTTGGTTAGTACCGGCCGGCTACTCTGCTTGGCATTTCTTTACAGATGGCGTTTTTTAAATAAAATATCCCTGGACTGGCTGCTTACTTTGACAACTCAGCGGTCTACTTCAAAACTTTCTGACAACCCTGCATAAATCCCCTATTAAGCCCCCCTTCTCAAATAAGCTCCCTCCCTCTAATGAAACCTTGTCTCTGTTAAGCCCCCTCTTCCCTCCCCTAATGAACCAATAAATTATAGACTGTATTAATCAATCACGACTGTTAAACTTCATGTGGACTGATCCAGGATGGTCTATTTACCAGGTGGATTTCAGATTTGATTCTGATTCTGGGCTGCATGACCTAAAACTTCTTGTACTTGAGCTTTTCCACTTTGTATTCTAGTTCTTTATGAAGTACTAAACCATCGTCTTTTCTAAATTAAATAAGCCCTCCCTCTCAGATAAGCCCCCCCCCCCCCTCAAATGGGTTTGAAATAAAAACCCCCCAAAGCCCCCCCCTCAAAAGGATTTACGGTAATAAAAAAAAAGGTTATGAGAATCCAAAAAATGATCACCAAAAGGAAAATGTTTTGATGTTTTATCAAATTCTCTCAATTCGTGAAAAAAATTCATGGAGTTCAGTCTCGAAAATAATATTTTTGTGTGGGTATTGGGGCTTAGCGTCTCATCTGGTGTCAGGGGAGTAGGAATACTTCATGCAGTAATTATGGTTATAGGGGAGGCACCTGAGTCCCTTTCTCTCAGTTATACTGGACCGAATGGAATCCTGTCACTGTCATAATTATTTTACTGAAATCAGAGTAAGGCCCAGAGAGGGCCCTAGCTAGCAAGCAGGCAAGGTGAGGCAACAGCTTTATCTAGATTTCAACTCATGTTAAAAAAATGTTTGAGTGGTATAATAGTTGCTAGTTGAATGAGGTTGATTTTTTGAAGAAATACCTTACAAAAAATGCCGAAAATAGTGTTGCTGAGCTTCTAGTTTGAATTTTTTGGGGGTTTGCACCTTTATCATTGGCAATTGCAGATCTTGCCTTGTCCATGCTAAGAGGTGCGTGGCCTTGGCCGCAGCTGGGTGGGTATTAACCTTGAAATCCATCAAAACCACACAGGCTAATAAAAAACTAAGCAAAAACAACAACAAAGCAACAACAGCGACAGCAACAAGAAAAAACAATAATTGAAAAAATCAAAAAATGCAATTTTGTTTTTCCTCTCAGGGGTTAATCTAACTACCCTATTAACTACTTAGCCCTAGGATACCCTCAATAGAATTGCCCCACTGCAGTTACTGATATTTGATTCTTTATCAACTTTTTGTCAGGGAATGTCAATCATTGTACAGTGAGTTGTCAAGCCTTTTTTCTGAGGACAGCAATCAGCAAAGTAGTAGAGAAGTTCTTATGAAGGTAACGTTAGGTACTTAATTATGGTCTTGTCACGGTTAAGTTCGGTAAGCACAGTGTCATGAAATTTCTATAATTTTAAAAACTGGGTTTGGAAGTGTTTACCTCCATCCTTCAGGATATCTCAGTAAAACTTGTACATAATGCCAAGCTAATATCAACTTGTGTTGAAGATTCTCGATACAATAGATTGCTTGATTTCTTGTTGTTGTTTCTGTGCCCAAAGTTTGTTTTATTAATACTTTTATTATTCAACAGGAAGGTACTGCGAAGTGGGCCCAGTCAGAGTCAACTTCACCAACAAAAAAGCTGGCAAATCTGAAGAAACGCAGGTCTAAATTTATGGAGATGGTACGGACATTTTTGTACCATGCATAGTATTCATATCCGTTTCGTTTTAGCCATGCAGGAGAAGCGCAAGAGTTGCACAAGGGGAGTGGGGTGGGGTCTTCTTTCCTTCTCCGCTACGCCCCTTTCACTCCCCCCCTCCTATTTTTTTTGCTCGCCCTTGCGTGGCTCCTGCACTTTTCCTGCTCGGCTTAAAGGAAACAGAAATGACTGCTAAGCTGGTTAACGTTTTTGTGATGCTTGAGATTAGTATTAAAAAGTGCTACTTTTTAGCAGTGAAATAAAAATATCTAAATTATTTCTCTCTGTTTGGTTGAGAAAGCTGAGGAATTTTTATGTTTTGTTTTGAAGGGAATTATTCAGGGTACTGTTCCATATTTAGGAACATTTCTGACAGATCTTATGATGTTAGATACAGCACTTCCGGATATGACTGAGGTAAGGAAACTGACGGCTAATAAAGCAGTGTTGCTCTGAAGTGTTGCAAATTTGACCTCTTTGTGGCAAATTGCCATTGAACGTACAGTTTACTGTAAATCCTACACTAAACCCTCGTGGGTGTTTTCCGTCCAGACATGTCTGTAGTCTGCGAAAACATCCGTTTCTCCTCGCTCTTCGCCGCTGGGGACGTTTCGTGCGGAGGAACGTCTCCGCGCGAAAGATCCCCAGCGGCGAAGAGCAAGGAGAAACGGATGTTTCCGCAGGCTAGCATGTCTCACCCAAGTTGCTTGATGAAGCTAGGCATGGAGACAGTGGACTAGTTAAAAGGGACACCCAACGACTGTTTTCTGTAAAATATCTGTTCGGAGAAGCAAGTATTGCCTAGAATGTTCTATTTCTTGAGCACGGCTACAAATTTCTAGACGACCGCTACATTCATTTATAATTTTCGAAGCTCAACTAATAAATTCCCTCCGATTTTCTGAAGTTTAATTTTTCGCATTTCACTCCGCAGATTAGGTTATTTTTCATAGAAAAAAAACTTGAAATTTTTGGATTAAAAAATGTGATGGAAAGAGGAATCTGATCAGAGAAATTCTCTCCTTCGTAATACGTGAAATTTCATCTAAGATTTTCGAGAAAATAATACTGAATCCCTCGTAATTTCGAAAAGACTCAAGTTTCCCTAGTATGACCGAACAGATATAAATTTTATAGCCCCACTGAGCATGCATTTCTATAGATATCCCCTGGATAGCCTAAAAAGTGTTTTCAATGTATTTCGGAGGAAACCGTCGTTGGGTGCTCCTGTAGTTAAAAGGGAGTTTTTAAGCAAAGGCTTTCTGGTGCAGCAGATGACAGCCGGAAGTAAGGTTTTTTTTTTTCGATATTGTTGGATTAGTGTTGGTGGTGTCTAGTTACTCTCGTAAATACGATTTGCCCGAAACTTTGGGCAAACCACTGCCCAAGAACACTCAAATTCCACTTATGGTTGCTGTCCATCGGTCAAAAATACCTTTACCGAAGCTCCCTTATAATGATTAGCGAGAGTTGGGAGGAGTGACTTGTGTAATAATTTTTATTGCAATGCAGTGCCTGCTAGCTTACAATGTGGTATTTAATTCTTTAGAATTTTATTTGAATATTTGATTTTGGGTTTCGAGCCTGAAAGGTTACTGGGACTTTCAACTTTACCCCTTCTGAGTAAAATTGTATGAAGCCCAAAAGGTATGAACCTCTGAAGCCTTTCATGCCAAGTACAGTGTGTATATAAATTTTGGCAGCTGTTGGAGCACATCCTTGGCTTAATTTTCTCCCGGCTCTTTTGGCTGTGATAGCAGTGGATAAAATGTATTTTTCCTTATTCCATTACAGGATGGATTGATCAATTTTGATAAAAGAAGAAAGGTATGGTTGGAAAGACAACTCATCCGCTTGTGTGAACCAGTTTGAAATTGTTTCACTTTGTTTATAGTAGTTTGCGCTATGTGACTAAAATGTTCTGCGTGCTAATGTGAACGTGGAGTTTTCAAAATAACATAGGGAAAGGAAAAGTGACTCGCTTCATTTCCTCGGTAAAATCCTGAACTGGGTCATTTGAACGTGCTCGTTTGGAGAGTAACGGCTACGGAATCTATCAAAATGCAAAATGAAGGTGCCAAGTTAGGGTTGCCACTAACATTTCAAGTTACAGGGTAAATACAACAAGTAGCTGGGGAATCAAACAACTAGGGATTTTTTTTGGTTCTATTTTTCTTCTATTTTCCTATGAAAGTAGCCGGGGGCCACAATCATAGTAGCCGGGGGAAATCCCTGGCCTTCGCCACTTCATGACAGCCCTGTGCCAAAGTATCGTTTGTGATATCAATCCTGCGTTATGCCGTTATCTCTGCATTTGCTGTCGTGGTTGCTGCTTAAATTCCCTTATCACTGAACACTCTCACTCCTTTTCAGTATTAAACAGACCATATTTTGATATACCCATCTCACATGTGGTAATCCACTTCCATTTAGTATAGTATTTAGCCACATTTTGTTTACAGGAAAATGCTTTCAATAAATCTGATTTTACATAACATGGTGTTAGGTTTTTGTTTTATTTTTCTACTACTACTACTTTATTTTTCAGGAGTTTGAAATTATTGCCCAAATAAAGCTGTTTCAAGAAGCTGCGAAAAATTACGACATTGTCCCCGATGAAGCATTTCGACATTGGTTTGATAATATCAAAACATTTTCGGAATCTGAAAGGTAATAAAAAATAATGAGTCGTTCGACTTTGTCGATCACAGATTTGTGTTCAGGATTTTCCTCGCCCTATTCTTCTCGCCACGCCGCCAAAATTTTTCCCGAACTCGCACGCTGAAAAACTACAAACTGCAAAACAAATCTTTTCTCCTGCATTAACCCATTCATAGCCCAGAAGTGCTTAATCGCCCGTATGGAACCCCGTCTATGGTCCCACTTCTGACATAATCAGTTTTGAAAGATAACTTTTCCTGTCAACTCGTGCAGGACATTTAAATGATGTTCCGAATGATGCCTGAATATGTGTGATTTTCTCCAATAGTCCAACTTTGCCTGGAAAATTTGAATGAAGATCTTGATGCACTACCCACGTTCCTTCCCTTTGAAATATAGTCAAGGCCCTTAGCCTTTTCGTGCTTTCCTATGTAGCAACAAAGCTGAGAAGTAGTAGGGAGGAGTGGGAAGTTAGAGCAATAAAACTGCATTTTTTGGCACCAGAATGAAAGCTAGTGTAGTACTCGACGAGTGAACAACGTTTTGGGTAGTACCGCTGCTTTTTGGCCGGCCTGTTCCGGGTGTAAGGTAGTGGGGGTGGTGTTCTTCATTTCGCGTCACTCTTCATAATCTGAAAATCTGGACAGTCCACTTTTTGGCAAGATTGTAACTAGAATAAGGGCATGCAATAGCAAAATTTCTAGGGACAAATAAGTCATTCCGGAGTTCGTATTCCTAAAATTTTGAAATTTTCGTGGACAAAGGTGCCAGCGAAACCGCCAGTTACACCAGCTAGAATCTTACGCCTCATTTTTATGTCAAGTTTTCCTTGAATCCTTTTCCTTGTCGAGCAGAACCTGTTCGCAGAAATGGAGCTTTTTTTAAACTACTAGCTAAATGAAAACCGCGCAAACTGTTTTAGCTTTGTCGTAGACAGGTTGTTACTGTACCAAAAGTAACCAGGGAAGAAGGTCGTTTCCATTTGTAGGTTGAAGAATGGATATCACTGATTTTTCTTTGCTTTTTTTCTTTTCGCAGCTACAAGTTGTCTTGTAAGGTTGAAAAAGTGGAACTTAAATTTACGAAAAAGAAGTCTACCAAAATAAGGTCTGTAGTGTTCGAGTCCTAATTTGTTATATCAATATTCAAGACAAGCTCCAATTCGCATTTCGACGGTTTAAAAGCCAGTGGTATGGGAAGGTACTGCTGAAGAGGTGTCATTTGGATCGTTACTCCATAGGATTTCATCCACGGACTCAAAAGTTAGAACTGCATACTAAATGAAAAGCATACCATGCGAAAGTACTGCCTCGGAAGAGGTTTCATGTGAATGGTTATACCATAGAATTATCTTCCACTGTGATATTATCTAGCCTGAATTTCATCCGATTACTTCGAGCCGTTATTACTCCCTCAGTAACGTCTGAATCGAACTGCCGTTAATGCCGTCCAGTGACGTCACTCACTACCCGAAAACAGGGTAGTGATTGTCTAAACATTCGCATAATCATGTATAATTAGGAAAAATTTAGCGGGATTGTCGCTTGATATTCAGCGTATCGCTTCTCTGGCATTCTTTCGTGTAGTTCAAACATTTTGATAAGCTTAATCTTTATCTTAAACAGCAAAAATACCCTTGTCTTCGAATTGAACTGCGAATGAAGAATCGTTGCGTAGAGACGGTAGGTTTTTCATTTAGAGCCGCTTTGTGGTTTCGGCCGCTGGTGATTTTGTTTACCCGAAGTTTTCTGAGATCGATGTTATAATTCGACCTTCTTGCTATTTTCACCGTCAAGTGTAATGATTTTGTTAGCTTTTCTGTCTTAATTCCTTGTTTCTTTTCTTCGTTAAGGACCAAATAGTTTCTTTTCAGTTAAAGAAAATCATTGTGTTTTTGAACTAAGTGTTCCGTGTGTGTGTTCAGTTTCATTGCGCGATTGCGACCGAGTTTGCTTATAGAATTCAGTACAACTGGTTCAGAGTTGTACTGCATGCAGATAGTTGTAACGTTAACATGAATTACGATGGAAAAAAATAAAGCAGTTCTGTATCATGCAGACATTTCCAAACGATATTTCTCCGTTTGCCACTTGAAAACCATGTTTCACTTTTTGCATGAATTAAAGCAAAGGTCAAGGGGTAGTGACGTCACTGGACGGCATTAACGGCCGGTCGATTCAGACGTTACTGAGGGAGTAATAACGACTCGAAGTAATCGGATGAACTTCAGGCTAGATCTTATGGAAAGACTCAAAAGTTAGAGCGTCATCCTCTCTAAATAACGTTATTTTTTAGCTGCTTTTACATATCTTGAGCCTCAGGAAAGTGGTCTCTGAAAGCATAGTTATTAGAGGAGACTGGTTATGAAAAGCGGTAAACATCAATGATAAGAACAACAGTGCTGCAGTTTATGTTGGAAGTACCGTGAAAGTGCACAATCCTTTGTTTTCTGTTAGCAAATTGTTACGGAATAAATTAATGCAACGTTTTTATTGGTCAATACAATCAAAATGGTAGGAATTCTTTTGAACGTTGTGCACTTTCAGGTCCACAAAAACAGTCTGACGGGTTTCATAACCATTCCACTCAATTAACTATGCTGAAAGGAATTCACGATCGTAGCTACCTTGCAACTAAAAGTTTCTTCTTTGTTTTTCTTTTTTACCAGACGAATGTTGAGTGAACCCGACATCAGTAAGTTGAACCTAATGACTCAGTTATCGGCGCATACTCTCGCTCCACCGCCTGGCGAAAAACAGTGCAAATCAAACGAAAATTCACCCGTCATTGCTCGTCGTCACCAGAGAAATGTAAGCAAGTTTACTGAAGATCGCGGCGAAACACGCTAGTAAAGGTCGATACACACGAGGGAGCGTTTTCAAGTTCGCTCAATTTGCGCCGGGAGCTTGCTTCCAAATATTTAACCGGTTAAATATCGTGGAGCATTTTGCGGGGGCGGGGGGGATATTCTGCTCCCGAGGATGAAGTATACCCATGAAATCGTTGGTACGCACGGAGAAGCTTTGCTCCCGGAGCGTGCCATTGGAGCATGTTCCGGGAGCAAAATCCCTCGTTTGTATCGGCCTTAATAGCCCTGTCACATTTGTCATATCAGTACTTACACCGTTTTCTTCTTTCCGCCGTCCTGTTGTCTACTAGAGAGCTTTAGCATTGACGACGGCGACGGCAGCAAAAACGTCACTTTTAAAATGAATTCACGTTTTTTCAAACTTTGTTGCGTTTATTCCAATTCGATGAGAATGTCAAATGTAGACGGATTTTCTTTGGAGTTGATTTCTTAGGGACCGCCCTCAATTTTAGAAAGAGAAAGAAAAGTTTACGTCCTCCATAAAACGTAAAATTAGGCATTTTCACGTCCAAGTCGTGCAGCAAAAAAAGCGTGATGCACGTGCAAAGTTGCTGCTTTGATTAACAAACCTATTGCTTTTTTGACGTCCTTGTTGCCATCGTCGTTGCTAAAGCTAAAGAAACAATAGGTTTAAAGAAAACAACTCTGCCTGTACATCACGGTTTTCTTTAAACTTCTTTTACGTCCCCTGCACAACTACGACGTGAAATGACCTAGACGGGTCTCTTGAGAACGTGAACGGCTAGGTGATATTTTTTATTTTATCTATCTGAACTCTATTAAGTGGAAGGCGGCCCTTTCTCGTTAGCTCCAACTTCATTTCTCAACATTTAAAAAAAAACAGCTGGGAGTAATCGCGGAAAAGGTTGAATTAAGGGCACAAAGTCAGTTCTTCCGTGGACTTTTCATTGGTGTCGCCCTAGTTGTTTATGTACGACACATGTAGGAAAATTATCCACTGAGTTACAGTTAGAGATAGTCAGAATGCGAGTTTGTTGCATTTGTGTGCAATGTTGTGTAACTGCATGTATACGGGCTTTGGTTGATTTTCATTATCGATCAATTGACAGAATTCTGGATCATCGTCATCCTCAACGTCCTCTGGCGTGTCATCGTGCTCAGACACACCTTCCTCGGCTCTGAAACCCACCTCATTCTCCCTCCCTCGTGGGCGCTGGCTGCCCACAACACCATCCTCCTCCTCTTCACCTCGCTCTTACAAAATAGGTTTTTCACGGCGGTCTTTACCGCTGCCGCCGAACTCTCCACCCACCAGAATACTGCATGTCCCACCAAGTCCAATCAATAGAGCGGCACACGCGGGATGTATTATTCGCGTCAGTATAGAAGGAATGGAAGACAAGAGCTCAAGTGGTGTCATCTATAGAGGCATCTGGGTAAGTAGGAAATGTCGACCAAGTTTTGTGCGCGCGCGTGTGAAGGCCAGGCCCCTTGAATCTTCTCGACCTTCAGCAAGTAGGAACAAGCCAAAAGAAAAGCGAACGAGAGAAAAACCGGGAGAAAACTGGAGGGGGAGGGCTCGCTTTTTTGCTCGTCTACACCAATAGGAAGCCTAAAGCACCCCTCCCATTTCCTAAGGGAAAAGCCCTACAAGTAGCTAAGTTTTTTACGCTTGACTTTATTTCTGTTGAGATGGTATATTTTACGTTATTCATTTTTACGTTTATAATAAGTGAAAAAGCATAAGAGTCGAAAAAGAGAGAAAAACAGATTTTCTTCAATGGAAACCATTTCAGTTCACGAACGCGGGTCCATGGTGTTGACTTTTATACTTTTATTTGACCGTAGTTTGGTTCGGTACATGAATGCAGTCTTGAGATGTGGCGAATAGCCACACGTACATTAGCTACCGTTTAGTTCGTGGTTTATTTGATGTTTTTGTGATTTACAGCTGTCAGATGATGAAAGAACTCCGTCTGTCATTCGAACGTGTCTAGAAAAACGAGAAATGGGGGGAGACCCTGGCGATTACATTCTTGTACAGATTCTAAGGGATGGAAGTAAGTCGTCATTAACGTTTGTTGTTTTCCTCTTTAGTAACTATGACGATGATTATTTTTTTTAGAAGTCCATCTCCTGCGAGTTCTTTGCATCTACTTCAACTTTGTTTATCAGCTTTTCTAGACAGGCACCCTTCCCTCCCTTCCCCGGAAAGATAGCTGCCACTTGGGGTGGTCACCCATCGTCAGTGTCCCTTTCCGCAAAAGTGGTCGATCAGAGAACTCCTGTGAGACAAAGCCTTCGGTTTTTCTTCGTAAAGGTTGTTTTCCACTGACGCGTTTTTGGCTCCGCACGTTAATGCACGTAAATATTAATCACGTAAATAAAATAGAGGCAAGATAAAAAGTGCTGAGCTTAAACGAGAAGTTGGGCGAGGTTCAATTTCAACTTCTACGCCTACGAGCGACTTTTCTTGCATTGCCTCTATTTTATTTGCGAACGGAAGTTTAACGCACGTACGTAGAAAATACGCGACACTGGAAATCAACCCTTACTCGAGAAGGATATAATGTCTCACCATTTGCAGACACAAAAAAGGCAGCACATTGTACTTAGTTAGGTTTAGAACCCGGAGTGTTGGTCCGGCCGCTAAGGTTATATGAGAAGGGGATGCCCATATCACTAGGGTTTGGGAATGGGGATGCCCAAAACGTGAGGATGCACATATCACTGTAACACCGGGCCTACCACACAGAGGTCTGGTGGTGGAAACGCGGTTGTAGTTGACCTTGTTTTGATTCAACCCTTCCTGCTTTCATATGTAAATCACGTTGTTCTTATGCCAAATAGTATTTTTAAAGCATAATTTCCACAAGAAAAGGAAGGAGGTTTATATCAAAACAAGGTCAACCTCAGCCTCACTTTCACTCAAAGGCTATGATGCCAAGCCCCAACTATACAATGGTCTATTGAGCTAACCAGTCAGCGGTTTGTCTGTGTTGCAGTGGAGCTCGTCATTCCGGACAACGCGAATGTTTACTACGCCATGAATTCAAATGTGGATTCCCTGCTGTTCAAACTCAAGAAAAAGTAGAGCGACGTCCATGTAAGGTGTGTTATTGGTTTCTACTCTTTCATGCGTTATTTGCCTAGTATCTTGTTGTCACTAGTGATAAAGTAGGAAAAGGAAAACTGGTTCAAGACTCAAAATAAAACACACAGCACGATCTTCTTGCAGTAAACTCTATATTATTTGTTAGGCCCTCTCCCACGTATTGCTCTAGGTGCCAGAGGCTTTTCATGCGTAGTTTCTGGTATCGGTTGGGCCTTCGGCCGAAGACTTTTCGACCTGCGGGCGACGAAGCTCCTCGTCGCACGGGAGAAACTCTGGTACACAGGGTACCCACGTATTTGTTTGTATTTGAAAGCGGAAATATTTTTCCCGTTTTCCAAAAACAATTGCGTCCATGCATGTCGTTTAGGAATCGTTTTTGCTTGGCCACACCTGTCCGTTTCTGTTTGAAAAGCAATACTTTTTTTTAATCTTTGGCTTTGAATCGTTCTTACATTTAAAGCTTCGATTTTCGAGACCGGCGGTAAAAGTAGCTCTGCTGATTTAGTCTTGGCCTTGTCAGTAACAAGCTCGAAAATTTAAGCTTTGAAAGAACATTATTTTAGATTTGCCATAGGTCTGAAAGAAGGCAAAGTTGCTGTCAAGTTTCGTTTTTCGGTGACTGTTGTTGACGGAGTACATAATCATAATTTCTCGTTGCGCCAGTGGGCGCATAATGATACGCGTGGATGGAAAGCCAATCTACAGGAAATCGGGTTTCAAATGTTTACGGTCACTTGTGTCAGTGTATCCAGGGTATCTAGGTGGCACACTTCTAAAATGTACAAGGTGGCTTTTAAAGTTAGATACACATACTACTATGAACACTTTCTTTCCCTTTTTTTTCAGGAAAGTGCCGTCAAATCATCGCAGATGCCTTGAATGGAAGCTCTCAAGGTACATTAAAGGGCTGTGCCTCAGATTGAGTAACAATGAATTCCTGGATCCTGTCTTTCAGCAGCACAGGAACTTCCTTCAGACCCCATATGCATGGAGAAAAATTGTTCCGTGGAATAGGGTCATTCTCCAGTGCCGGATCTAGACCTTGAGATCACAGACCCTGTGATAAGAGGCGGGGGGGTCTCCAAATTATTTTTTCGACCCTTCGGGCCTTACTTTGGTCTAAAAATACGGGGGGGGCAGGGCCCCTCGGGCCCCTCCCCTGGATCCGCCAATGTTCTCCCAGCCAAGTCAACGTAAGCGAGTGCTAAATGAGAAACAAGCTGACCCCTTTGCCCGAGCCAAGAGCTGGCAACAGCGCACGCGAATGCTGTGATTGTCTCGCCCTGCCCGATTCGACGCAACTGGGCGAGACAAAGTGTTTATGTCATTATGGAAAAAAGTGCTCAGCTCGGAGGGTGACCCTACCATCGATAAAGGGCAGTGACCCGGCTAGGTGGGTCACCCTTCTAGACGAGCCATCTTTTAGTTTCTCATGTAAATGGTTGGCCAAGTTTTGTAAGGAAATGTAGGAAAAGTTGGCTCGTCCTGGGTTGTTCAGGCAAGCGAGTGACCCTTCTCCCCGTGGCAAGTTTTCTCCTTATAAATGGGGCCTCAGTTTTAACAGGGTATCGTACAGAGTCTTGAATTCCTGAAAAAGTCTTGAAATTTGCCCAGCAATTTTCCAGACTTGGAAAAAGCCTGGAAAATCGTGATAAAGTTCGGAAAAATGGTACAAAGTCTTGAGGGTTTTTCAAAGCTACAACACTTGCTTTACAAGTGAATTTTTTTGTTTTTGTTTTGGTCAAATCTTATTCAATCTCGGCCTCGTACTTTTGCTGTGCATTATGAATAAAGCTTTGTTCCTGCTTTTTTTAAAGGTCTATATTGATCATATTTGATAACCTTGAGTCTGGGAAGGGAATTATTGTGTTGGATAAAGGTCTGGAAAAAGTCTTGAAGTTTGGATCCAAAACTCTGTACGGACCCTGACTATACCTCCTTAAATGGAAGCCAAATCTTGGACCGTGCACTTGGTCTAGAGGATATTTCTCTATGTACACGACTCTGAAAAGATTTGGTACACTAATGTCGATGCTGAAACTTCACTTAAACTGGTCTCTTTGACAATGTGAAACACATACTTTTGCCCCGCTTATTACGTGCTAAGAATTGCATTCGCGCGCTTAATTAGTATAATAGGTTTCTAAATGACTGTTGTACAAGCGAAAGAGTTTATTCTATCGGCCGTGGCTTAAGGACGACGCCTCATTTCATACTTATTCTGGGAGGTGACCAATTAAGCTGGACGTTTTAACTTAGGCCCCGTCCACACGTTATCTGGTTGTTTTTGAATCCCCATTTTTTTTTCGGGAACGGCTTCCGTCCGCTCCTATCGGGTGAACCCGGCATACGAATCCGCAACTTTTTTAATCCGCTCTCCAGAGTGGAAATTTTTGAATACGCTTTGAATCCGGAATCGTGTGGACGCTAAATCCGGATATTTTTTTATCCGGTGACGTAACAAGATCGAGCCCAGTGCTTTACCGTGAATACGGTGCTCAAGGTGGTAACCTCGACGCATGCTCTGTTGCCAATATTCCCAGAGGAGTCCTGGGTACTAGAGTGAATCCGGATTCTTGGTTTGCAATCACGTGACAAGGTGGCGATGTTGGGGGTCAAAATAATAGAATTTTTTGTCGAAGAATTTACATGAAAATAGAGTTTAGTTCCCAGGGGAGAGATCCTTTTGTTCTTGACCATCAACATGGCCACCGTGACGTCACATGCTTACCAGCAATACGTATCGACGTGAAAATTTTTTAATCCGGAAAGAAAAAGATGGGGATTAAAAAGTATCTGGATACGTATGAACGGGGCGTAGCCTTTAGCGTTGTGCAAGGCGGACTAGGGAGCTTCATGAACGACCAAGGCGACGGCAGCGAGAACGTCAAGAAAGCAATAGGTTTATGAAGCAACACAACATCTTTGCACGTGCGTCACGCTTTTTTTGTGCATTTCTTTGCTGTCACTGCACGCGACTACGACCTGAAGTTTCATGGAGGACGTTAACAAGGGACGACGAATTTTACTTAAAGGCGGTCCCCAAGAAATCAACTCCCGGCATATTCGCCTACATTTGACATTTTCAGCGAACTGGAATAAACGTGGCAAAGTGTAAGAAAAGCGAATTCAGTTTTAAGGTGATGTTCTCGCTGCTGTCGCTGTAGTCGAAGCTAAAACTCGCTTATATTCCTACCCATGCGGCTCCGCTTTAGGGTTGCGAGTGAAGAAATAGAAGGAATAAAAATAAAATAAGGGAAAAAAGGTCCTCGTTTCCCCTACTCCTACGGCCATGAGCTTTGTTCTACCTTTCTAACATTTCAACCAATTCTATGACCAAATAGCTAGTTCCTATCAACACACACAACTCAAAGAATTTGCTATGACTGGCTCATTTCGCTTTCGACAGTTTAAAGAAGCCGCGCAATTTTATTGTGGATAGAAGAAAAAATATTTCTTGTAAATATCAATAAATTGTATATTAATTCAAAAAGCAAAGCAAGATGGCTTGATTCCCCTCCTATGAGGGAATTTTAAAATTTGAAAGGGCTATTTTCTTAACAGAAAAATAAAAAATAATATTCACACGTTGACGTGAAGCAAAATATTTCTCTATTTTTATGGTTTTAATAGCTGTGGCTGTAAATTTGTTCATAGGAAAAATCCATTAAACAAAGGAGAGTTGTGCTTCTATTGATATTAGTAAGGGTATCTACAGTAGTTAAAACAATGTGAAATATTTCAAATAAAATTAAAGAACACTGGTATTCATGATGTTTGGTTTGTGACGCGGTCTTTCCATACGACAATCCGAACCATCCTTTTTATAGGCTTTATAGTATTCCCCAGTAACACCCATCCAATCTATATGGCTCGTTGGGCATTTCGGATTTCCATTTGTAAGAGAAGCGCCCGCCAAAATCTTGCCCGAATTCGCGCAAGTGAGCTTGTTCGCAGGCTATACAAACTTAACTCGCACGAACTTAGCTCACAAGTATAACTCGAGATACCAGCCTCGTACCCAGGCCAATTCGCGCCATCCTAGTTACCAGAGGAGGCTTGGAATCGAGTGCGAATGTTCCCTACAAGCTTGACAGGTGATGTCACATCCGAAATCGCCAAGGACGACTGGGAACGAGGCTGTCGAGTTACTTATAATTAACACAAAGTACCGGCCATGGAGTGCAGATATCAGTGGAGAGATTTAGAATCACGCTTACGGCAAACGGCAAAGGCAAACATCAGATTCAAGTTGAGAATTTCTCAAAATTTAAAATAAGCAGATAAAAACAGTCCATAACGATTCTTGTAGGCAAAAGTAACGAGAAACTACAGATTTTTATTTTTTATTTTTGGGAGAATTAGTAAACAGTAAAAGACAAGTAAAGGGGAACTTTGATCACGTGGTACAATTTGGCGTTTGCCGTAAACATGACTCTAAATCTCCCTTTTGAGATACCGTAAAATTCCGAAAATAAGCCTCTCCATGTATAAGCCCTTCCAAATATAAGCCCCCCAAACCGGTAACGCGAAAAACCCTCCGTTAAATCGCCCCTCCAAATATAAGCCCCCCTGGGGGCTTGTACTTGGAAAATTGCCCTCAAATACAAAGTAAAACAAAGCAAAAACGGTAAATTTACTTCCAACTATAAGGCTAGCCCAATCGATTTTGAAACGCAAATTTCCCTCCGTAGATAAGCCCCTCCGAATATAAGCCCCTCCAAAAATAAGCCCCTCAAAAAGGGCCTTTGAAAAATATAAGCCCCGCGGCTTATTTTCGGAATTTTACGGTATCCTCTTCAATGTGGTCTCCCACGCAGCCTTTTTTTGTGCCTTTACGCGTCCCCCCCCGTTTTATCATCAGCGCTATTCATTCGCATCGTAGTATCTGCCATTTGCCTCATTTTACTGAAGCACACCCAAGTCAGGGCGTATCCCACTTCCTCTTTCCAATAGTGATGCTCCCACGCAGCCGTTTTTTGTGTCTTTACGCGTCCCCCCCCTTTTATCATCAGCGCTATTCATTCGCATCGTAGTATCTGCCATTTGCCTCATTTTACCGAAGCACACCCACGTCACGGCGTATCCCACTTCCTCTTTCCAACAGTGATGTTCAGCAGCCTTTTGATGGAGAGTGAGGCTTAGGCCGGGTGACTCTAACTGGCGGTTGAGCACTGCACAGATCTCAACTCGTCAATCTGATTCAATAATAGTGTATTTCCCCTCCTGACTCTGCTTCGTACACTTCCAGCTCAATGCAATACTTATTTTTTACAATGGAGAATCTTAATCCGTTTGTTAAACAATAAAAATGGAAGCGATGAAAAATGTTCGTAGTGCGCATGTTTTTGTCTTAAAATTATTAAAGGAATTTTATATGGCGTTTGGGAGTTATTACAAAATTCATTCGATTCGGGAAATTTCTATAGGTGAAGGGAACTATCATAAAAAAAAACAATGTGACATATTTTACTTGCTGTTCAACTCCTACGCATCAACACTGATCAAGTGACATCCTCTCTTGAAAAGAGAAAATGATTTCTATTGATTCCTTCTCCTTGGTCTTGTTGAAGGAAAATGTTGATCGAAGAGTTACGTTAGCCACTTGTAGCATTTGCTACGATATATGTTTGTACTGGAGTCGTTGTAAGCGCTCTTGCTGATTGATTTGAGTAAACTACTTATAGTTTTGCTTTTTAAGTTAATTAATGATCGATAGAAGTTTCTCTGGACATGAATTCCGTGCAAAGAAGAATTACCAATTTGGTGCATCTCCGCGGTAACACTGATCTGTTCATGAAATACGTTTAATTAGAGCCTTTGACACATGGCAAAACCTTGTTTATATTAAGTATTTTGTTCAGTTTAACATTTTTGACCTTAATCTGGTCTTCCGTCGATATATTTAGCAGGAAATGACTACCTTACTTGTTTTTAACAGTTTTAAGCGAGTTTCTTTGAGTTTTAACCGAATTCAAGGCAGTGGATAACTTAAATTAGATTTAAGTGATTTCATAGGTGTTTTTGTGGTTAAAAAACTTTTGTGCTAAATTCTGCCTTGTATTTTCAGGTGTACTTTGAACTGCATTTTTAATTTATATTCTGAGTTTTTGATCACGTCCTTAGTTAATTAATGGAAAACTTTTAGCCAATCATCTTCGATGAAGACGCTTAATACCTTCTGTAAATCGACAACAACCTAACATTTTCAAACTGTAATTTTAGTACTTTCCTATCTAGTGTTATGAAAAGTTTGGGTATGACTTTCACTAGATACTTTGCAGTTTTATTTTGTTCTCCTTATTTTGTATTGGCCAGTTAACCTAAGCTTAATAGTGAAAACTTGGGTTGAAAAACCATTTAGACAAAGTAATTATCTCGAAGGTTTGATGCTAATGAGACTGTTTTAACCAATCAGATTAGACTTACGTCAGCTTTCGGTTTGCAGTAAGCAGCTGGTTTCCTGGCTGATATAAAAATGGGTATAACCCTGATTTAGCAGAGAATTGTAAAATAGGAGTTGAGCTAACTTCGTGACATTGGACCAAAGAATAAAAAGGAGCCAATTGAACAAAATAATCGTCTGTTTGTTGCGAGAACCAGCTAGTTCCCCAGAAAGGTTCTTCAACACTTTTAGCCTTACTGCACCTAAGGCCAGCTTTAATTTGTAATAACAATACATGTTGCTCAACTTAACGAAGTACCAATTTAACAGTGAAAAATTACTTCCTTACGAAGGTAAAAAGGTGATAATTGTCCATATGTAGTTGACGGTTCTTTTTACATTGAGGAGAAACGCGGGAAATAAAAACAATTGAATGAGAACCGGAAAACGTTAGAGAAAAGCCGGGACGAAGGCCCTTGTCTTGATCAAGGAAATTCCAAAACAAAGAACGCTATAATGAACACTCTACACTAGACACATTGAACAGGATATCTCTTGTTCAAAAAAGTACTTACATGCCTGTATTGACACTTTTACATTCACAAACAATTCGTAATTTCTACTATGCCTTTATTTAAAAGGAAACCCTGATTAACGTGTATTCCATTAGTAATGCGCCGTTATACGTTAAAGGTGAATGTCTCTCGATTAACAAACAATTCTAAACTAGCATTGGCGTAAGTTATAACACGAACGACGATCTCATGTTTTCCAGGACAAGATATTAGCGAGATATAGTTAACGTTATGGTTTTTGACACTAAGGAAATTCCATCTTACTACCACCCCTTTTGACCGGTTTTTGCTAAAACTATAGTGAACTGGTGTTGTGAAGTGACGCCTTTATTTATAGAGGGTAACACTCGACAGTTATGATCTAATTATTCATTTATTTTCTTTTTGTGAAAACATCGTTAGTGCGGCCAGCATGTTATGCCCTTTCTCTCGTTACTTTAAAAGAAGTTTCATTATTAGTTTTAATCCTAGTAATTATTGGATTTGTTTCTTTTTAGTGTTTGCAATGCGTATTTAAAAAAAAATGTGTTTACCTGTTGAATTTTGCGTAATATAAATGAAAAATGTTTAGTTATTTTATTCCAATTGTCTTTTACATTAAGGGTTCGAAAATTAAAATCAGTACGCGCAGGTAAGCGTGAATTTTGTTAAAAAAAAAAAAAAGAAAGAAAAAACAGCTGCGTCGATTTACCTTAAAAAAAAAGCCTTTCTCGTTTATAAAGAGCAAAATTACGATTGGATTTTTTTTTAAAATATTAAGTCATAATTTTGAAACATAAATACATTCATTTACTCTCTTGTTTGCGTGACATCTGTATCGCGTTACCCAGTTAAAGAGAACATCTTCTCTAGAGTCTGTACACATGTACCTATTAAAATTTACTTATACATGAATCAATAGTAAGGACTCTTTCCTTATTTGGATTACCCCCTTGATCTCTATGATTACTGTTTAAAACGGTAAAAACACTGTCTAAGAGTCTAAGATGTCCCGGGGGGGAAGTTGCGTGACGGCAGGCCTGCGCGCTGCATGGCTGATCATATTTTCGTTACCAGTTTTCTCTCCGGCAAACCTGCCAATACAGGACAATACAGCATGATTCTTCTTGGCCAATCAGATCTTCGAAGACCCCCAAAAAAATTACATTTCCTTGACTGATCAGGCACGTCTTTACTCCTCGACGCGCAGAAGAGCAAGTGGCGAGAAGGGCTACGTTTTGACGCAAAATGGTGAATCTTGGAGACAAATTCCCCGATTTTGAAGTCGATACAAGCAAAGGCAAAATCAAATTCTACGAAGCAATCGAAGGAAAGTGAGTATTACATGTACATCTTCATAACATATTTAAAAAGTTTACTAGCTTAAACGAGCTTGTACGTGGGCAATTAAAATTCACGATGCAAGAGGGCCATGAGGTCAGCAAAACCTTAAGGTTTTTATCAAGCTCTATGATTTACAGTATCGATGTAACGATTAAGTTTATTAAAGGCTAATTTTAAAATCGTGTACTCCACAGTACAGTTCATCAGGGTATAGCTATAGTACAAGGATATTGCAGTGTACATATCAACTATTTAAGCGTATATCACGTGGCAGACGTAAACCATCTCTGGACACAACACTGGTGACATACATTTCAAAAAACGGATATTGTTAGTCCTGGAAAGATATATTTGTTTAGATAAGATCACCCTAGGACACCTTGAATACACTTGTGAGTTAGCGGTTACTAACGAGTTGATATGCAATTACATATAAATACGTATAACGTTGAAAATGGAGTGATTAGGTATGTTGCGATTTTGATAATCTTGCTTCTTAGAACTGTGTATAATCAAGAAGTCATTTGACATATACTTATATAGTGTTACAGTTGAAGGATTGAATGAATCTGGAAGAAATGATACCAGTTTGGTTAGAAGCCACACCCATAAGTGACCATCCATAACAATATGCATGAGATTTTCAACTGAATGGATTGTGTATATGGCAAGCAACATAGGTTTCACACTAAACTTGTATATAATTATTATATATAAGTTTAGTGCGAAACCTGTGTTGCTTGCCATGTACACAAACCATTCAGTTGAAAATCTCATACCTAAACATTTCAATGTGTTGTTCTAGATATGTACCCTGGGTGCCAGAGACTATTCATGCGGGGTTTCCTATTTTAGTCTCAAACTCATTAATAATTCATTAAGAAAATACAAAGGAAATTAATGTTTAATGAGTGTTTGGAAATTGGATGAAACACTGCTTAGTATTTGCATCCTTAATTTCTCCTTCAAAAATGATTTTGTTTGAGAAGAAATATCAAACATTCGACACAGTGTTTCATCACCAGATGAAACACCTCGAAGTTCGTCAAAAATACTCCGCTGCGCGTCGTATTTTCAACTCTCTTCTCGGTGTTTCATCTGGTGATGAAACACTGCATCTCATGTTTGATATATTACGTCAAGTCTTTGTAGTGACCTGGTCAAAAAGTCTCTGGACCAGAGTGCCTTCCCCTTGATGGTGCTGAGCCAATTTTAAAATCCCTCTTATATGAAAACATCCAAAGTCTGGATGTTTTTATTTGTTGATTTACTACCAGGGGATGTTGTATATATTGATCAAGTGCTGTAATTGGGTGACAATGTGTCTCCACTGCCATCAAATTGCCACATGCCAGAAAAAAAAACTGATGCCCAGGGTATGTTCTAGGAAAACTGCATGCTGAAGGTTTTTGGTTTTGAAACCATGTATGTTGTGTAACACTACAAGTTATTGATTGATTGATTTTTAAATGTCAGTTGGGCAATCCTCTTCTCTCACCCTGCTGACTATACTCCAGTATGCACCACTGAGTTGGGGCGTGTAGCAGAGCTGGCTCCAAAATTTGAAAAGAGAGGTGTAAAACTCTTTGCCTTGTCATGCGACGGTGTTGAATCTCATAAAGGTTGGATTAAGGATATTGTGGACTACAGTAAAAGCGAGTCTGGGGAGAGTGATTTTCCTTATCCAATCATAGCTGATGAAAAGCGAGAGCTGGCTGTCAAACTCGGCATGATTGATCCTGATGAAAAAGATGCCCAAGGCTTGCCTCTGACTGCTCGTGCAGTAAGTTGGACATAATTTTTTCTGTGAGTTTGATCTCGTAGCATTAGAAAAGTTGTTTCTAAATGATTCCATATTCGTGCTGATTTGAATTTAAACACCAGAATAGGGGATGGGGTTTTTGACAAGGTGTAGTTCCAGAAAATATCCATACCTGCCCTCTCCCCCCCACAGAGGGCAATGAAAATTCAGAGGGAAGGTGGGTTCCAAAAGGAGGCAGTTTTTGAGGAGGTGGGCATTGGCCTCTCGAGGTCTTTTTTCCTAGGGCTCCAAGTAATGATTGGTGAGGTATTAAAGACTAACAGCTGTTTGGTTGAACATTAAGCTATCAGTTATTTTACTGTCAATCGGTGTTTCAAAGCAAAAATTATTGTTTTCATCAATGATCTTTCATTTGTGGTCGGCTGAGTCCTTTTTTCATGGTTTGCATGAAAGTTTATGTAACATGATTGTCATCGGCTCATTAATAAACTTGGTTATCTATCTGTTGCTTTGTTACACAATATATTGTGGTATAAACTGCAATGTGGTCATGCTCTAATAAGCTTTCTTCTAACATGTTTTTAACTGAAAGGAAGTAATTGAAGTTCACTGCTTTGAGAGATGGCATCATGTTTGCCTAGTCCCTATATGGCGTCTTTCCAGGTCGTCTTGGTCAATGCTTTTCAGTGACGTATCCGAGACGAACGGCTGGGAGACGCCTAGACAATCTCGGAGTGCGCATGCGTGAGCATTTTTGAAAAGTTCACATGTTCAACTGAAATAATCTATAAATAACTTTGCATGTTAATATCCTTTGCTTAAAGATCGGCACTATTGACAGTCTTGACACCATTACAAAAATAACTAACCTGGTTTCTGTTATTGAAGAACGAAAATATTACTTTGAATCGGAAAGAATACTACTGTATAACGTACAAGTAATTTCTCTTTTAGTTCATTTTCGAATGAACCGTTAAAATGATATTTCTTTATTTATAAAAAGATTTGAAACAGTAGTTTGTTGACATTCTACCAAATTTAGAGACCAAATTCAACAGCCTGTCCAATTAGTTTGATAAGCTTCCAAATCCAAAAATTAAATTACATAAAAAAATATTTTGAGGTGAAATGATAACGAGAAATTTATAGGAACAAGTGAAAATAGAGACATGAAAGATAGCCTTTCATATCCAAGAATAAATATAAACTTATTTCTTTTAAGCTTACCTTTCGATTCTTGATCAAATAGTAATTTTTTTGTTACGCTGTTTTGCTTAGCCTACAAATAGTTTTTGAGATGAAATAAAGCTCAAATTTAGTTTAATGAGATAAATGAAAAAGAAAGGCCAAAGGACTTTCAACAATGAAAATGTGCATAGAATAAAAATGCTCGGTTTACCTCTCTATCCTCTGTACTCTCCATGGCTGCTGGACATCTTTCATCAGCTCGCCTGCTTTCAAAAGTTCCGCCCCAAGTGAGACAAAATGTACCCAAAATTGTACCCAAATCCTAACTCTTTAACCCGCAAATAGTTTATCCCTGTCATGTACACACAGTAAAGGCAAATTAAAAGACTGGCTGCATCCCTTTTCTACTGTTACAGTCAAACCAGGTCAAGCGTTCCCGTCGCTAGCAAACTAATGAATTCATTAATGGAAAAATGATCTTGTTTGTTGATTCAATAATCCATTCATAAAATGAATAATCCAACGGTCAAATTGGACCTCGATTCAATAATGAAATGTTGATTTGGTTTATGAACAAAATCTACCTTTTGTTTATTGGGTTATTCCAGAAAAAATCCACACCCCCCCGACGGATGGGGTCCTTTTTTACCCCCCCCTCTCACCTGGATTTCCTGAAGCACAAGACCCCCCCTCCCAACTGGATTTCCAAGGTGGAAGACCCCCCCTCCCGCCTGGATTTCCGGGAAAAAATAAAAGGCTTAAATTTAATTTATTTTTAATGGAAAATACACGCAAACACGTCTAAATGTTTTTGTTTTAATTTCTAAAGCTTCAGCTTATATTAAACTACGAATTCTATCGCGTGGAACTGAAAACGAAAGGAGCAAAAAACAAAAATGCGAACGACACCTGAACGAGTGTTTACATAATTTCTTAGCTTATAAAAATCACTCTTTGCACGCGGGCTCTGGGTACGAGTAGAAGTGTGTCAGGCGTTTGACGCTCTTCGTGACAACAACGTTGCGACGAGTTCCTTCAGGCCCGTTCTTTAGTATCTTTTTCGCGTTTTCTGCTATAAAAGGACCTGTAAAGCAACTTAGATTATCATTTATATCAGGTGAGAAATATATGAACAAAACATTTTGACTATTTTCAGGGTCTGAAAGCGCTTAAGTGTCATCGAACTAAACGTTTGATTTGTATCAACTATCGGTCGAAATGACCCCTGCAGAAGACTTTTTTAAGGTCAACCCCCCCTCCCGCCTGGATTTCCGGAGTCTTCGACCCCCCCTCCCGCGAGAATTTCCAGAATCCCATCCGTCGGGGGGGTGTGGATTTTTTCTGGAACAACCCATTCTTGTCTGTTGTGTTCAATCGTATTTGCTTCCCTTTTCCTGCCGTTAACGATTGCGTTTTTAATTGCCTTTAATCAAAATAACAGCTTGAATAGACAGACTGCAAACGCAAAAGAAACTGACAAAGGCCGAGGATCGAGATCCACCAATCACCGCACATACACTGACCTCAGTTTGACCATCGTGTTTTCTAAGAGGTCAGGTCCGTTGCACTGATTACTGGAAGCAAAATGGCGTACATGTAACAGTTTCTTTTGGTTTGAACTTCAGAACTCGCCAGCACTCGACTCTTAGAAAAAAGGAAGAAACAAAATTCTGAGGTCGACTTGTGGAAAGTGAAGTTTTTCAAAAAACAGTAATCGGATCAACATTTGATTATGGAATCGAGGCTAAATATGAATATTGGATTGTTGATTTGGATCTTGTTTACTGTGGGTAATGTCGACTGAGATATCGGTCGACATAGCGGTCGATATAGCGGGCGACAGTCGGTCGATATAGCGGTCGACAGTCGGTCAATAGTCGGTCGATGGTCGGTCGATAGTCGGTCGATAGTCGGTCGATAGTGAGATAGACTATCGACCGAGTATCGGTCGATATTTTGTCGACGCACCTCGACTTACTATCGGTCATTAATGTCGGTGATGTATCGATCAACTGTCGGTGATATATCGGTCAACTGTTGGTGGTATATCAGTCAACTGTCGGTGGTATATCAGTGAACTGTCGGTGGTATATCGGTCAACTGTTGGTGGTATATCGGTCAACTGTCGTTCGAATATTAGTCGTGTGTTAATTTATCAGGTGAGTCCAATGGCTTTTTTTTAAAGCAAAGACGTCATTAGTTACTGTTATCATGCGATGAGGGACATGTGGCAGTGCAAGGCGCGATTACGCTATGAAGAGAACCGAAGAGCACTGGGAACTAAGGACATGATAACCTTTTTTTTCCAGTTTATATCATCTCCGATCGTCTGAGTTTTAGCTGTTAAACAGAACCTGTCTCAGCCTAAGTTAAATCTGCTGCTCCTGTGGTCCCGCAACAATGTAGGAAAATGTAGGAAATGCTAAGTGTCGACCGACCATCGACCGAGTGTCGACCAATTACTGACCGACACATCGGTCAAGTATCGACCAACTATCGACCAAGTATCGGCGAAGTGTCGGCGAAATGTCGGGGAAAAGTCGGCGAAGTGTCGGTGAACGAAAAGCTATATCGGCCAAGACACATCTGGAACGACTATTGGCCGTGTCTCGACCGAGTGTCGACCCACTATCGACCGACTATCGACCGACTGTTGACCGAGTGTCGACCGACTATCGACCGAGTGTCGACCGAGTATCGACCGACTGTCGACCGAGTATCGACCGACTGTCGACCGAGTGTCGACCGACTATCGACCGAGTGTCGACCGCTATATCGACCGCTATATCGACCGATATCTCGGTCGACATTACCCACAGTAAACAAGATCCGTTGATTTTATAAATGGATTACTGAATCAACAAACGAAATCATTTTTCCGTTAATGAATTTATTAGTTCGTTAGCGACGGGAACGCTTGATCTGGTTTGACTGTAAAAGTGTAAGCATCTGGACAAACAACAAGAAGGTTGTTGGTTTGCCTCCTATATATTGTGAGTATTCAAAAAATTCGAGTTATTTTCCGAGGCCACTTGTGATAATGACTGAACAAATATCTTTCTCGTATAATTTACTCTGTTTCTGGCATGAGAAGAAATTAACTTAAAATTCTTAAACCGGTCATATTATGCCTCTCTTAACTGCATGAGTATCAGTTATAAATAAGGTCCCCAATATAGTGTTATTTAACACTTTCTTGCCTATTATTAAAATAATAACCAAAAATAACCCCAAAAAATTCAAATTCTTTTTCATTTTTTCCTGAGAAAGTAAAAAGTATTATGCAAAAGTTCTGCCAAAAAGGTTTCACTAATGGCAATACCACAGGGTCTCATCATCCAGAGATTTTTAGAATCGTAGCTGGAAAATTCCTGATGCCAAACTGTTGATTCTATGAACAATGTTGACTTATCTTATGTGCCTTGAAGTGTACAGAATTTTCAAATAGATTTTAGAAAATAAGAACTTGTTTTGAATTTAAGGCTGAACAAGTACTTGTATATAGAGGGGACTGAACTGGCAAATTTTATTCTCAGTAGTAGGTTCTTAAAAACCAGGTTCTTAGTCGCAGGTTTTTACTACTTAAGAAATGGTAAACGTGCAGCGTGCAACCATGGAGTTATGGATGCACGCGGGAGGTTGCTAAGCATGAAAGAAGCGTAAGAGTCGCACGAGGCGATAGCCGAGTGCGACTCTAGCTTCTTGAGTGCTTAGCAAACCTCCCAAGTGCATCCATAACTCCATGGTTGCACAGCTGCAACGTTTACCATTTCTTTTATAACATAATCAAAAGAGAAAAACATTATTTTCCATTTGCCTTCGGTTGAGTCCGGTCGGTACGAGTTCAAGTATGCTGCCACCTGCCCGCGCGTAAACAAATCTTGTTCTATGTTTTTCAAAAACTTGCCTTTGAGTTTTTCTTTCGCTGAATCAACCGTTCTCTGTCTTCAGGTAAATTGCAAAACGTTTTTCGTTGTTATTCTGAATGGCATCTGTCTACTTGCTCTTAATGTTAGGGTGAAAACTTTGAGGGAAAACTATAGCTGCAACTATAAACACCAACTAAAAAGACTCTAAAAAACAAGCTAAAATTAAATAAATGAAATAATTATCAAGCTTATTTTATGTGACAATGTTTGAAATATACGTAAAGTAGAAATGAGAAAATTTGAAGGTAATTGCTTTAGAATAACAGGTAACACTAATTTTAAAAAGAAATTAACTAGCTTTGTATCGAAATCTGCCTGGGGAAATCCAGCTATGAAAGTCAAAGTTAAAACTGAAATTCGCAGACACACAGCCGGCGCTGAAGCTGTTGTTTTTCGACCGATCTCTGAACGACTGTTATGAATGAACACTGAGGAACAAAATAATACACACAGAAGTCATTTTTTTAAAAATTTATTTGAAAACCCAAATGTTTCTGTACTCAAATGAAATTCGCTTATTCCAGCGTAATGTGCCCGTTTAAACTCAACTAAAACTTTTAATAGATGCGATGAAACTTCACAACAAAGCTGTCTCGAATTTGAGCGTGTTTCCTGAAATATTTGCTTGGATTTAGCATCAGCTTGACCAAAAAGTCAATAAAACAATGCTAATTGATGAATTTACATTTCAAAGAGACTTTCTCTTCTATAAAAAACATACAAAATGTACCTTCAATCTTCGCTGGCTCGATTTTCCTTTGAACAGCCGATTCTAGCCGCGAGGAAAACAGTGATTAATTCATCCAGGGCAAATTTGTCGCTTGATCTTTTGTCTTTTTTCCTTCAAAACGACAGCTTAGTGTTTTCTTCAACTTCCACTTTTCATCTGTGCATTTTATCGGTGTATTTTACGGTCAGGAGAGGAGATTTGTTGAACTTGCCTGAATTTTACCGCGCTAGCTCATTTTCGTGGCGTGCACCCACGGGCAAATGGTAGTGGCTAACTGACCAATCAGAGCGCGCAATTTACTTTTGTTATGTTATAAACAAAAATGTTCTTGTAGAATTAAAATGATTAATAATTAAATTTCCTGGCTATAGTGGGGTTAGAGTCTGTTGTTCTTGTACACAAATAGCAGGGTGTCAAGCGAGTCCTATATTCCTATAAAATCCTATAATATTAAAAAATATAAAATCCACCTTTTTCAGACCTCTCCTATAAAAGAGGAAATTCCTATATTTTAAGCCTTTTTCATGAGAAATTCAAGAAATATTTGAAAATTTAAATAAAAATGTTTTATTGGTAGTTAAAAAAGCACAATTTGAAGAAACTTTGATGTCGCAAAGGATGTGTTTGCTTTACCTCAAAATGCAAAAAATGTTTTTCAAATTTGTGCCCAGTCTAGATCTTCCTATTAACTTTTGGTGGTGTACTGCAGTAGATTGTGGGTTGACTGTGTGGGTCCATCTTTCACATGATAGATATCTAGAATGTGATAGAGTTGGCATATATAAGCGCAGCAGAAGTTACTGTGCATGTAATGATAGAATCCGCTACAGGGCTATCACAGAAGCTTAATTCAGAGTTATCTTGAGCTGATAGAGAAGCAGAAAGGTGTCGAGTGTCAGAAACAGAAGCTAATTGAAAAAAGCTTAGGAGAAGTTCCACTTCCTACGAAAATGCCAAGCTTGATTGCCTCGCTACCAAAGCAGGCAATAAAAAAGAAGTAGAAGAAATCCAACGTTTAACCTAACAGCAGTACATTGGTGATGGAGTTAACCATGAAGGCTGTAATTTATGGATGCTTTACCTGATCTGAAAGAATATGAGTGGTGACTTTTGTTCACTTTGGTTTTTATTTTGACTAGTGTCTGTAATTCTAAGTGTTAGTCAGTATTTCCATTTCTGTATTCACAGAAATGTCAGTACTGAGTTTTGGACTTAAACGTGTTGATATTGTCAACCATTGTTGATTTGAGAAGAATTTAAGATTGCTATTTAATTTTATTAATATTGCATGCCGAGGAGTTCAGTGTAACTGAGATGATGTTATGATCCCAGAAAAAAACAGCACTATTTTGACTTTCTGAAGTAAATTATAAACTTACTATAAATTGAAAGGTATCTTTGAAACCGAAAAAGATAAGTATATCTAGAGAGTCTAAATACAATAAAGAATCTTGCATTGGGCCTGTAAGTTACTACTGGATTAGTCCTAATTAGTTTTGCAGTTTTGGTGGGTTTTGTCCTATATTTTTTGGGTTGCTCTGTCCTATATTCCGATATATTTTTGGACCCCTAAAGCGCTTGACACCCTGCAGCTAGCCTGTTCCAAGCATTCAGATAGTGGAGAGCGGTGCGAAGTAATGAAAGCGATGAAATTGGGACTGCATGGGGAGAGAGGTGCGGGAATACTTGTACAAAAGTGTGCTCCGGTATACCAGATCCTGGTATACCCTCTGATTGGTTGATTTTGACAGTTTTTGTCAACAGTGGAGCATCTTCGATCACAGCGAGAAATGCGATATAGCGGTGATGACAGACTTTGCGTGCCGTCCAGAATTCGAACTCGCAACTATAATAACACAGCGCTGAGTGACTTTCCAAACGTGGAGGCTAAACGCGAAGAGCAAAGGAACTGTTTCAAACATGTAGTCGGCAGGATAGATGTCTTCGCAATTTCACCTACTGGCTTTGGAAAAAGACTTATTTTCCAGCTTTTTCCTCAAATAAAGCGTGCATTGGAATGAAGGCAGGATAGAATGCCATTTACGATTGTTGTGGTAACTCCGTTGATTGCCATCATGAAAGACCAAGTGGAACATTTGAACAAAATCAGAGTAGCGGCGGCAATGATGGGAGAAGATGTGGATGAAGCTGTTAAAAGTGGAAGCTGTGAAATTGTATGATCGTTAAAAATTCACTCAAAGGCGTACTGCAGTCACAAATCGTGGTTGTCTAAGGAATGGATAAAAGGACTTCAAAAGGAAAGCTTGGAAAGCAAGTTGCAGCTATCGCTATTGACGAGGTCCACTCAATCACCAAATAGTAAATTTTCCCTTCGTTTGTTGGGCATTTTTATTGCTCGAGTTAACGATCTGTATTGAAACGGCTTTCTATCGAAATGAGCGATATTTGTTTGTCACTTGATTCATAATTTTTTTGTCACGTACCGGTACATGCTGAAATCATGTTTTAAAGCCGTAAATAAATTACTTGTCCCGCTCTCTATTGTCTGAAAGTCTTACATTAGGTTTTTAGTAAGATTATGTATACATAATATTAATTTTTGATCCGAGAAATTTTGATTTATTCGTTAGAAAAATAATAAATGTATGGGGCTGTAACATCAGTCTTGATTGACAAGTGAAGACCACCTACAGCTGATGAGGTCTGAGTGGGCGGATGTCAGTCTATTTAAAACAAATCAAACAGGCGTTCCCTCTCTCACCTCTCCCCCTCCCTCGCTTTTATTTTTTCACGCTCCTTTTACTTCGCACCACTCCCCACTATCTGAATGCCTGGAACAGGCTACCCTGCAGCAGGCAAGGAGTTAATTTATAGGGTGTTATTTAAGGTTTATTCAATATACAGAAATCAATATAAAATTTTAAAATTATCCCTCAAAATACTGTAGGTGTTTATCATTGGACCAGAGAAGACGCTGAAGTTGTCTTTGCTTTATCCAGCCACCACTGGTCGTAATTTTGAGTGAGTTGAATCTTTATGCATGTTAAACAGTTTTAATGAACCATAGCTGTAGGATAGTTAGTGTTTTTAATAAAAGTCTTCCTCTGTCAATGGCATCTGAGAGAAATTGTAAGAAACAAGAAGCCATTTGTCTGCCAATATGCTAATGCAACACAGCACTTAATTCACAAGCTGTCAACCATCACATACGTACAATGTTTACAGGTGGCCCTAATGACACCTGAAGAAGGATTATGAGGTTATCCTATATTAAGATCTCTCTCTTACAGATAACCTACCCAGCCCAGGAAAGGTTGGCCACATCGGCCACCGGGATCTATACAATATCCCCTACTCTTTTTGAACAGTGGTGTGGGTTCTTTTACATCCCACAAGAACCAGATAAGTGAAAGTGTTGTGAGCAAGACCTACAGCTGTATAGTTTTTCATCCTTATCTGAGAAGACTAGAAATTGCAGATGTCATTGCAAAGGCAGCAATTTTTTCTCAGTTATTTATAGCGAAATTCGTTGTATCGCACTGTGTGTTTTGCAAACTTCAAAGGAATTTTGTTTTTTTCTGTTCCGTCAATCATCTTTGGCAGACCTCTTAGGAAACACATGTTTACCCGCACGAGTTCAAAAGGTCATGGTTTGTGGTTCGTGATTGGTGAATTTCGATTCGTTTTGTTTGTTTCACGTTTCAAGGTTCGTTGCTTTGTGATCGTCCTGTTTCGGGCAATATACAACTAGTTAAATTTGCTATGCATTTTTTTCTGATCTTTGTTATTCTTGTCACTCGTAAGAATAAAGCAATGTCTGCCTCCTTCATTCGTCAAAAAATCCACTCACCATTGAGATTTCCTGTGCTATTCTTGGCAGTCTAGAGTCATTCTGAGCCAAGCTGGGTGAGCATGTTACATTGTGATTTTCATTAACCCCGCCTTCACTAAAATGATTGACAGAACAGAAAAGCCTAAAATCCCCTCGCAGCGTGATACAACAAATTTCGTTGTAAAGACCATGAGTGTTGGTTTCAGTGGGGGCTTGAACCTGCGACCTCCTGCTCAGCAGACCAGCGTTCTCCCATCTAAGCAAACCAGGCTGCTTATAATAGTTTAAAATGGACAAAGGAGAAAGAGAACAACCTTCCTAAACCTAGTATACACTGCTTTTAAAGAAACACATTTTTTAAAACTTTATGGCAAGAAATCAAAACTGAAACATGTGACAAGTGTCCTGAGTGTGAAAACTGATACCCTACCTTGTGGCATGAGAGAGCTATATTTCTTGCCTCTTTTGAAGAAGAATAGTGTTCTTTACCAATGTTAGTCAAATTTAGTGATTATTTAATTTTAACTTTGTTCAATTTACAGTGAAATTTTGCGTGTGGTAGATTCTCTCCAGTTGACTGCTAATAAGAAAGTGGCCACTCCTGCAGACTGGAAGGTTAGTGCTATAGTTCAGATTACCATACTTAATTGAAGAAAATGCACGTCTTAATACCACTAAACTGTCATGGGGCTCTTGTGCTTGCTGTGCGCGTGCAGCCAAGCACCAGGGGTAATAAAATTTGGTTATCTATGCATCCTAGAAAGTTTGGTTGTGAGAAAATCACCTGTACATACGTCCATTCACATGTATATTCATCAACACCTTCACCCCATCCACCTTGTCTTTAAAGGGGCCGTGTCACACTATTTACTATTTTTCTAAAACGTGTCTTTGCATCAACTGAAGTCCAAAAATAATGGTCCAGTTTAAATTTTGTTATTTAAGTTATTTTTAGTTGTCAACACTCTTTTCCCATTGTCTGTTGCTACAAATGGCATTTGGTTCGAAACTCGAAAAAACTTGGCCAATTATTTTCAAGTTTTATGCTGTGCCTGAAAAATTCCCAAAATTACTATTGTTGTTCGTGCTCCTTGATGAAACTTGTTTGGTATCTTCTTCATAATTACAGGAGCATTTTTTTGTATAAGTATAGACACTGAGCAATGACTTAAGCACAGAATTGACTGAAAACAGCAATCCCCTTGTGTTGCCTGAATAGTATTTCTATTACTAAGTAGTCTTGAAAAGTGATAAACTGATCATTGACCTTAACAAATTAGCAACACATGTCATAATGTGCCATCTTTGAGAAAAATTAAGGATCGAATCTGCCACTTGTCTAGCATATAGTTATACTGTGTATTAAATTTTTTAGGCTGGTGGAGACTGCATGGTGCTTCCTACAGTGAAACAAGAAGATGTCCCCAAACTGTTCCCTAAGGGCGTGACAGTCAAGGAAATGCCGTCTGGCAAATCTTACATGCGTTTTACTCCTCAGCCAGAGTGATTACAACAGAAACAACAAATAGCATTTTGGATTCTGTTTGTAGCGCAAAGCAGTGCAAATACTACTAGAATTATACACGTGTCAAATTCATAGACTTTTGTAGTTTATTACTCATTTAAATATTTCCTTTTTTCTAATTGGCTTCAACTGCCCCGGGGGACAGGGACTCTAACGAGCTAGCACTGAACAGATGTAGAACATTCACCTCATTTGTCCACCATTTCTTATTATTGGACAATAATATTGACGTCAGTCATGCAGAAGGAAAAGTTATTGAATGATTGACATCATGCAGTGTTCACGCATCTGAGCTCATTTCCCGAACAGCAACTGGTAATCGAGCTCATATGCTATTTACTCCTGTAATTGACTGTGAAACCGTCTTTTACTCTCTAGTCGCTAGTTGCCAACAGATTGAAAGTGTTAAACTGAATGCACAATGCAATGCACTAAAAGCTGAATTAAATCTTTGTCTTTGCATACGGTGTGTTTCCCCTCGGTCTGTATACAACCTTCGGACTTTGTAACGAACGGACTGACAAAGGATCGGTCTAGGGCAGAAAGGAGCAGGGGCACCCAACGAGAATATAGTTCAAAACCTCTTAAACGTAGCATTGTTAAACGTATTTTAGTATTTAAACGGTAGATATTGGCATATTTTTATCCCCTAAAAATTTTTCATCTGTTCGGATTTCCTAGCTGAAAGTCTAGTGATCCGAAAATTATAAGGATCAAAACTTACCTTTTCGAAAATTTCAGCCTGGTAAAAGGCTCCCGAAAATTCTAGGTGTTCTTTTTAGGGTAAAAATCCATTAAAAATGGGCAATTATACCATTTTTTAGATGTTCGAAAATCCTAGGAGAGGCAGGCAAGCAAGAAATTTTACAACAAATGTTCCGAAAATTCTAGATCTCAAATCGTCTTCCGAACAGATATTTTCCGAAAATTGACGTTGGGTGCCCCTGAAGGAACTGGCGACTCTGAAGGAGTCGTGTCAAGGAAGGAAGGAGTTACGGATGAGAGGACAACAGACGCGCCTTCTTTACAATATATATTTTAAAATATGTTAGCAGTAAGCTCGGACGACAGCATACAAAGGCGCCACTGTCAGCCGCTATCGCTCCATTTTTTATGAGCTCACTGTACCCTCCCAACCCATGATGTGAATGCTGTGATGTGTGAAGGTTGGCCACACCACCGGGGCTACGTCCCCAACTCTTTTCGAACAGTTGTGTGGGTTCTTTTTTCGTCCCACAAGAACAGATAAGTGTATGTGCTGTGAGACGGGACCCACGGTTTTTCGTCCTTATCCGAGAAGACTAGAAAGTCGTACCGTTTGCCATTATAAAGGCAGCACTTCTCAGTTATTTAAAGACCCTGAGTGATGGTCCGGCCGGGGTTCGAACCCGTCCCATCTAAACTAAAATCCGTCACAAATATAACTCTTTGAGATGTTTCCCATCAATCCCGACCGTGCTGCACGCGCGAAGTTTTTTTTTGGCTAGTTAGACCACCTGACCTTCTGGGCCCAGTTGCTCGAACATGGTTAGCGTTAACCAGCGTTTAATACCTTGACAACGTATTGGTTTTGATACTGCTTAACCAATGGTTAAAGCTAACCATGCTTTAAGCAACTCAGCCCTGGTTGTTTTGCCGTTCTCGTTGACGTCACCGCTAAGTATTCAATTTTTCGTTTAAGTAAACTTAACGAGAGCTTCGCATTTTACCCTGGCTAAATCTATGTACCGTAAATACTCTGTTAAGACCCCAGGGGCTTATTTATTTCAAACACATTTGAGGAGGGGTGGGGTCTAATAGAGATGAAGGGCTTATTTGATGGGGGGGGGGGTTGGGGGAAGGCTTATTTAATTTAACGAAGACGATAGTATCAGTTGTCCATAAAGATCTAGAATACAAAGTGGAAAACCTCAAGTATAAAAAAAAAAAAACTCAAGGATAACAAAACAAATCCGAACTTTCAGTTGGTGAATAAACCATCCCTGGTCAGTCCACATGACGTTTTACAGTAGTGATAGATTAATACAGTCTATCATTTATTAGTGAAGGCGGAGGGTTAGAGGGGGGGGGGGGGGCTTATTAACTTTCCCCTGAAAAGGGGGTGGGGCTATTCGAGAGTGGGGGGCTTAATAGAGGATTTACGGTATTAGAGAGAGAGGGGACTGTTCCTCTCCTCAGTACACGCCCAATCTTTTTTTGCTCGCTTTTCTTTTCGCTCATCCTCTGGCTGGTCCTGACTGGTCGACTTGCACCTTTCTGAAGCGTCTCCCCACTTCATCGAACTAATCGCGTCACAGGTGTAACTAAAGGTAGTGCTTCTCGCGTCTTGAATTTTTCGCGTCACTCCTGGCGTCATTTTGAGCCTTGAGGTTATGCTGGCCTCCCTGTAGTCGATAATTTGTCTTGGAATTTGTTTATTTTTTGGCAACACCACCCAGAAAAACACACACAAGAGTAGACACAGGGGCCTGTAGGTCAGGTAGGACCTCGAAGCCAGTTTATTGCAAACTTACCGTAAGATTATAAGCAGACCGCACTTAATTACAAAACCCCCTCTGACGAAAAGCAAACCTCTAAAGAAACTAAGTACGACATCGGCTGTACGAAAACCCAAAACCACTTGTGGAGGTGAAAGGGTGCCATTGGCTAACTTGTGAACGAGAAACGCCAGTGGAGAATGATAGAAAGGGTGCAGAAGCGGGAAGAATGTGCCGAAAAAAAGTGATAGCGATAAACTGGCAATGATGCAATAATCCCGCACAACCCGTGGCTTTCGTGATTCCCGCCAACTAACGGGTCATACCGCCCAAAAGGAACAGGGAATCTTACAAAAACTCCTCAGCGCCACAGCTCGTTCAATAATATTCTGTCAAAAGTTCCGCCTTGGTATGATTTTACAAATTTTAAAACAGAACTAAGGAAGGTCGTTCTAAGATGATTTACTTTACACTATAAAACCGGTAAGATATTTGGGACCATTACTTTGGTCCAGGTTAGCTACTAAAGTAAAGGGAAAGCACTATTTTGTCTACGAGAATTTAATTAGAAAAACAAAATCTAGCTACGCTTGTCTCTGCAAATGAAATGATCATGCGAAAATTGCGTCCATAGCCGTAATTCTTAGAATTTCTTGTATACAGTACTTGAAAATGCCTACACTTTTTTATATTTGATAACATGGGGTTTCATTCATATTCTTAATAGTTCCTTTTTATGCTATTTAGTGTTTTAGTTAGTTATTCATAGGTGTCGTTACTTACTGGGTAACCGCTATATTTTTGACACAGAAATAAGGTTATTATTGTTGTTGTTGTTGTTGTTGCTGTTGTTGTTATTATTATTGTTATTATTATTTATAGCGTTTATAGCTGATGTATCTATAGTGTCTTTTCCTTTGTTTTAACCATAAACAAGCTGGTAATGAATCTAAAAAGAAACCTTACAATGATAAAAGCAGACAAGACAACCATAAATATGAGTAAGAGGATATCCAACAGATAGAGCTGGTAGAATGGTAGATCCAGTCCCCTCGGTCTGAGATACGGCAAACCACCTTGAGCCTGCGTGTATTCTATCCAGTCAGCGGCTTCTTGGACAGGTGTACGAGGCAACTGTTTTATTGACTTAGAGATTCGTTGGGCAGACTCACGGTAGCTAGGAAATAAGAGACTTGAAGTCCAATTCTAGTGCCAACACTGAGATGTCTTATTTACTGAATGACATGTTAATTTTACATGGAAGCAGAGTAATGCATGACTGGTTAGGGATATGTGGATCTTATCTTCTCGCTGGAAGACAAAATTCGTTGTATTCCTCCAGCCCAGTTAAATTCTCTTCCCAGCATTTATCCCCTCGAAAGCACAATCCACCTTTTGAACGACTTGACCCTTTTTAAGAAGGCGAATCTTTTCCTGAAATCTTTGCTGACGTCATTATATACATTTTTCCTCATGAGCATACGACTTAACTCATAGAAGCCAGTGGCGGATCCAGAGGAGGGGCCCGGGGGGCCCGCCCCCTCCTTATTTTATTCGACCAAAATGAGGCCCGAAGGGCCTAACAAAATTTTTTGGGGGACCGGGCCCCCTCCCTTATCTGAGGGTCTGGATGACCGCCCCCCCCCCCGCCCCCACCTATCTAAAGGTCTGGATCCGCCACCGGAAGTCGTGGCCGAAAATTAAATTCAAGAGTTGACACACCTGGTTAACTTGAGCAATTCGTGCAATTTGGAGCTCTTTGCAAGCAGTATTGAAGAAAATATCAGCCATTGAAAACTGCGAAATTGCTGAGTGGCAAAAAAGTTAATGAGCAATACATTCTTTGTAAAATTTCGAGTTTTTTAAAGAGAATTTCTCCGAAACCATTCGATACATCGAGGTCAAATTTTCAAAGATATCTGAAATTGATATGCTCTTTTAATATTTAGGGCCTATTTGGTAGAAGGCCGATTAGTGCTTAATCCAGGGTTAAATTTAACCCGGGTTTCTTTTCTTTTGTTCAAAAGCATTTTTTTCTGTTGTTTTTAAGAACGTCTAATCATCAACTTGTTGACAAAAAGGATTAAACTGAATTCACTCTTTAAGCTTTCATATCTCAATTCAAATTTTGCGCTAACCCTGGGTTATCTTAACCCAGCTTTGAACAACCCGGCCCAGAGGTTATTTCATTAGCTTCATCAGATAATGATAATGATGATGAGCATATGTTAACAACGCAAAAAATGTAAACAAAGATATTCGCCTATAGGGGTGCCCGGGAATGGTTTGTCCAACTTGTGCCAGACTGCAAATTCTCCTTCCGGGTCATTTGTCACTCACTTCCAAGGCCCATTATCTTGGTACGCTACCAACTGATTTTTACACTGACAAGATTACACGAAATTATAAAACTCACCGAGGATCCGTGAGCACAGTCTGAATAACGCTGACCAACTCTTCTGACGTAACCTCTCGCAAATTAAGACTCTCAGCAAAACCAGCACTTTTTGCAGCCTGCGAATTATCAAACTGATCACCAAAGAAGGGAGAACAAATCATAGGTACTCCATGATAAATGGATTCAAACATTCCATTAAGCCCGGCGTGTCCAAAAAACAGACGAGTCTTAGGGTGGCCGAGAATGTCGTTCTGTGGGAGCCAGGATGCAATTTTGATATTGTCGCTGAGTGCTATAGAGTTTGCTTCCGCTAGAAGTAGGAATAAATGATAAACAATTAATATGCAAACTCAAAAAAAATATCAAGTACCTTGTTAGAGTTGAGGCGTGTGTGGGCGAGCGGTTAACACCTCGATCTCTGGATCTGGAGGTCTGGGGTTCAAGCTCGCCCGTCGCGTAGTTTTCTTAGACAAGGAACTTTACTACACTTTGTCTTTCCTCACCCGGGTGTATAAATGGGTACTGGTGACATACTGCTGGGGGATAACCCTTCGATGGACTAGCATCCCGTCCAGGGGGGGAGTAGCAATACTCCTAGGCATGCTTCATGCCACGGAAACCGATATAAGCTCCGGCCTAGCCTGCGTGGCAGGCGTTTGAAAGGGAAGGGAAAGGGAGTTTTAGGTGCGAGAGAAACGCGAGGGGCGCGCGAGGAGCGAGGAAGGGAAACGCCTGCCAGGGGACCATAGTTTTTCTCGTTTTTAACATCCACAAGGCAAATGTTAAAAACCTGATTGGTCCGTCTTCAAAACATGTCAATCACAGCCTTAATACCTTAATCCAATTGGCTGAAATCAACATCACGCTACTAAGTAATCTTTCAGTAATCATTTAAAAATATGTTGTTAGTGAGGCGTGATGAGATTTCTGTATGGAATTCATCGTTTTAGAACGATTAGAAACTGAAGGCATCTATTTCAGCTTGAAAGGAGAATAGAAGAAAGCAGTTTAAAGACTCGTATGAAGGAAAAGACCTGTCAGCTAGATGAGTTGTGCTGACTGGTTTTGAGAAGTCTTGTCTCCCAACGGCTTGTTTTACTCACTAGAAGAAAGAAAGGAAAAATCATGCTGACTGTGTGCTTGTTATCTGCTGTTTGACCTCAAACGCCTACCACACAAGCTACGCTTTATCAACGACCAGATTGTTCTTTCCCTGCTACCAGCGTTCTTTTGTATGCTCCGCTGGATCCAGTTCGAGAGTCGGAAAAGTGTTTGTAATTAATTTCTTCGACAAACATTGCATGCAAGTTGGGAAGACGATACCTTCAGCAAAAAAGTAATAGATTTATGCTGGGTTTTATATAACAAGCATCAAACTCTTCTTAGAATACTTTAACTATAAAGGTTAGGTGAGAATAGAAGAACGGCAGAAACGATTATCAAACGCCATGTCACAAATTATGTGTCATACCTCAAGTTCGATTTTAGCATTTAATTCTTCTCTCTTCTTGTAGCATATCTCTCCACGTGTTCACATTTTAAAATTCTATACCCTGTTCTTTACTTGAAATTAATTAGAAATTCGATTATCTACACACTAGTTCCGACAGCTCCACGACTACACGGCTTCTT